GTGGGTGCATCTCGCTGCTCAATGCACCACCACCTGTCGCTGTCTGTTCAATAACATGGCACGGCCACAAGGGGGTAAGCCAGTGAGGGAAATGTCCTAAACAACCAGGAAAAAGTAGTTGTGCACAAGATGGAGGGAGACACTTTCATTGTTTGGAAAGGAAGGTGTTTATGTGAACATACAACTCTTTCTACTTTGTAGTTTAGATCACTACAATAATGTTTTGGTATGCAGGCCATCCAATTATGGCTGCAGTGATTGATCAGAAAAATCTCGATTCATCGACAATTAAAATACACGTATTGTAGTTTGAAAATTGTTTTTGCAATTAAAACTATACAGACACTAAAACACATAAAAACACCTTTTCGTAAGTAATCTTTAGTTTAGTTTCTTTAGTTGCAATCCTACATACATCCTACATTCTTTTAGTTCAGCTGCTAATAGTGTTTCAATTTCGATACTAACAAATAGACTCGATACCGATTCTGATTTTTTTTAGACAATAAAATTAGATTTTCAACAATGAATAATAGTACTTTCTGTTATTACCATGTGCTCTTATTTCTGTGTCATCCCTCAGTCATCCAGGTAGAGACCATTAGTTCTCCATGTCTAATCAATATGATCTTATACTTGTTCTGATACAGCTCACAATCATTCTAAAGCTTCATTTCTGTCCTATTCTTTAGAATCGATACTTGTTCAAACGAGTATCTAGTTTCAATACAAATTTTCGTATCTGATTTTTGATACTTTTGTCAACCCTAGCTGCTAATATTTTACCTCTCTCTCTAATTGTGAGCGCTTGGATTTGTTTAAATTGTCCGCTGTGAATGTTGGTTTAAAAATGTAATCGCGTTGAGACCATGGGTCAGCTTTATTTATTTATTTTCCAAAATGGCCGAGCCCTCTTCCCAACCCGGCCTTACCTCCTGCCCTGGGACCTACCCTATACATAGTTGTGGTGGGTCTTTAGCGGTCTAGCAGATGGCGTGCCGCTGCTGTGATATCACTTTGCCTTAGATCCACCACATTCTCTGGCTCCTGGTCAAGTCGGCGACGCACAGGCTGATCGAAAACTCGGTAGGAAGCCATAGTTGACACATGGTAGCTGCACCCGTGAAAAAGTCTGATCATACGCTTCCAATTTTAATGAGAGCACTCGGATATCTAACTACAGTTGACCGCATAACACACCGCATGACCTTGTTTTATTTAGAAGGAAGTCGACCCAACCAAAATATGATTTACACAGATGCCTCAAGTAGCCATCGAGTGTGGTGTCCAATATTCATTATAGAAGGGCATAGTATTATCCCTAGGACTATAATGAGCATCTTATTTTATCTATACTTCCTGGTATAGCTAAACAAGACAAGACCTGTAATTTGGTGAAATTAATTAATGTTTACAAAGTAGGGCTGTCAAAATCAGTTACTAAATGTTGTTAAAACTAGTATCATACTCATTTGAAGGAGTAAAAAAGTCACGTTCACACTCACAGGACAGAAATTAACCTTAGCTATAAGTGTAAGACTAGTATAAACTAGTATAAGCCTATGAACCACTATGGAACCTACCTGGATGACTGAGGGATTACACAAACACACATGGTATAACATATAAGAAGATTTAATGTGGAAAATCACATTTTATTGTCTAACGAAATATGGTTTTGAGTATCAAATCTATTCCTTAGTATCGAAATCAAATTAGAAATTTTAGTATCGTGACACTAATAGAAGCGAAGAGTATCTAGGGTTACACAATATATTGTCATAGTATCAGTATTGACTGATATAATAATATGATATTGCAACATACTATAATATGTTCTTTATTAGGCCAGAATTAGCTTAGATTTAGTCCTGGTTCTGTTAATTCTGTTAAATGTTTAATTGATAAAACATTAAAATTAATTGATAAATTAATTGAGACAAATGTATGAAATATTGTAATAATAACGATAATGCAGTTCTTAACTAGCCAGGCTGGTGCTCAATTTCTTTTCTCTCCAGCGACTAGGTCAGGAATCGGAATACACTAGTTGGTTTGCAAGAATCCCGGAAGTTGTAGACCACGTACCGGGCATTTAACGAAGAGCTATGAAGCCATGACGTCAAACTCAAGTGCCTGTCTGGGTCCCTTTTGTGGTAAAGCACAACAGTAAACAAAGTGGTCGAGATGGATGTAGACAAAGCCATACATTCTGTGTTGGCATTGATTCCCGAGATCGAGGATTTAAAGCCAGAACAAAGAGAATGTTTGGTAAATTTTATCAAGGGGAAAGACATTATTGCCCTTCTTCCTACTGGATTTGGTGCATTACATACATCATGACCAAACAGCTGCGATTGGTTAAATAATAAAAGTAGCCACATACCATCGAGCGAACGAATTCTAATGCTGCAAGGTCAGATGGTTTCCACAAAGTGAAATCGGCTGATGAATCAGGCTAGTTCTTAACACCCATATCGCAAAGTTTTCCATGGAACCCTGATAGTAATAGTCCTTAATAGTCTTTAAAGGACTATAATGGGCACCTTAATTTCATCTACACTTCCTGGTACATCTAAACAAGATAAGGGCTGTAAGTACGTCTACAAAGAGTCACAGCCATTAGCCTACACGCCTAAAGGTACATTACATTCAGTTGACATTTGCCACCTGGTATCCAAATAGCATAGTACTGATAATGACCTGTTACCAATTTAAAGCAGCTTAAAGCCAGACTGCTACAGCAAACACAACACAAATATAGTACCAGAGAGGCTGCCAGGTCCTGCTGCAGCTCTAGCAACCCTGAATCCAGACCCCATCCAAAGAAACCTGTTTTTATTTGGTTTAAGAGGTGGAAAGTCTCCAGCTCATATCGACTTTCTTCATTACCGCGACCCGCCATGACCTGAAACGTTAAGTTCAACCCACACAGATAATTGAGTTAGACATAAATAACTTTCTAGATGGATTAATTTTGGTGTAGGCAGGACATCTGATTTACTTTGCTCCGATTAATCATTCATAAACAAACATCAGCCAGATAAAGCTAAAGTGATGCAACTTTAGGACATTTTAATAAAGATACAATGAAAATAGTTTTTTCATTATTTTTATATAATTGCTGCCTTGTCTGATTCCTAAAACATAATTTCTTAGCAGGCCACTATTTCTGATTAATTAATTATTTTACTTATTTCAGCAGGTAGAAACGTCAGTGATATGTTTAGACAGAAGTGTGAAAATGGAGGACTATTTTTGATACTAAACTGTGTAATTAGTGTTTGAAATAGCATTGGCAACTGTTCCCTGTCCTTTTTGACAATTTTAGTGCAGGCTTGGTCAATTTACAAGTCTGATTCACCTCGCAGCATTAGGATTTGTTCACTCGACGGTAGGCAGGTACTTTTTTTATTTAACCAGTCGCTGCTATTTGGTCATGACGTATGTAATGCACCAAATCCTATAGGAAGAAGAGCAATAATGTCTTTTCCCTTGATAAAATTCACCAAACATTCTTTTTGTTCCAGATTTAAATCCTCGATATCAGGAATTGTTGCCAACACAGAATGTATGTCTTCATCTACATCCATCTTGACCGCTTTGTTTACTGTTGTGCTCTACCACAAAAGGGACCCAGACAGGCGCTTGAGTTTGACTTCATGGCTTCACAGCTCTTCGCTGACTGGCCGGTGCGCTGTCTACAACTTCCGGGATTCTTGCAAACCTTCTAGTGTATTCTGAGTCCTGACCTAGTCGCTGGAGAGAAATGAAATTGAGCGGAGGCATTAGGTGGCGCCAGCTATATATTTACAGCTTTCAGATTAAAAATCGACTAAGCATGGTCTGTCTCTAATGGACAAGGCAATTTCAAGTACTATGTTACATCACACAGGACTGTACTACTGTCCTAATGTGTGGTTCTGGGAGGATTTTATGTATTAAATCCCACTATAAATGTCAGAGATATTTAGGGGAGAGATAATGCCCTCAGACATAATTGGTTGAGAGGTAAATGTATAACATGTTTGTGATTGGCTGACAGCTGATAGATGGATAACTGGGTGACATTTCTGATTCTGCATTATTTGTTTCTTGCATTTCAAAACACGTACAAAAGCTTTCGTATTCTAGTGTGCCGTTGAATTAGTTATTTTTGATAACTGCATTGAGTTTGGAAACATCTATTGCAACACCAAATATGCTGTCTATGTTTTTGAATAAGTATAACTTGGATTTGCATAATTAACTTTTCTTTCCATCCTTCTGTAAAGTTAATTACTGCTTCAAGCCACTTTTGAATCTTGGTAGCTGGGGGGAGGTAGAATTAATTAGGCACAGCTTGCCTTAAATTGTACACTGCTGGAAAATCAATTTAGGGCCAAGTTCTATACACTATTATAAACAATGCATCTGATTAGCATAATGTTTGTTGAAAAGTGCTTAAAGATAGTGGTCTTTGGCCTCACCTCCTGAATCACTGGGCGCTGTATCTAAATCGGTCATATTAATGCTGCTGTGAAGGCGGTGGGAACCATAGCAACCATCAACACAGCCTGGAGTGGGATCTGAGCTGGCACACACACGGCACACGTACGCACACACACACACGCACACGCACACACACAAAAGGAAATCAATATCTGTGTGTGCAGTACAGAGTGCAGTCCCCACTACACCAGACTCAGAAATGTTCCTTTGTGGGTGCGCCAGAATAGCTCTAGCATCTCTTTGGTACAAACATGTGATTGTTTTTTAATATGCTTTGTTTTTATTGTTAACATACTATAAAAGGGGAAATAAGCAAGTCTATTAACCACGATAATAGCTTTCTTAACTTTCTAAAAATATTAAAGTGGGAGTAAACACCTAAACTCCTCCCATAAACACATTTCAGATAGAACTACTAAACTGGGCAGCACCTGGAGGACTAAAGAAAGGAATGACCCTGTGTTTGATTATCCTTCTGAATCAGTTTTCCGAGGAAGTTGCCTAGCGACATGCGTGACACACCCCTTTTCCTGGGATGGCATGACTCGGACCTTGTGGCAGTAGACTGAGCAAGGATTCCGAGTCAGAATCCAAGATTGCTGTGCCCACTTTGACGTGTAAATATGAACTGTTTCCATTGTGTTTGGACACTTTGGTGGTTTAAATGACATTTTCAGTCACTTGTATCGCTGCAATACTTTACCATGTCCATATCACTGCCTATGGGTCTGGTAGTTGGTGTTGTGCTGAGGTCAATATTGAACAAATACTTGATTTAACAGGCATTAATGTCCCTAAGGTTGTAACGGAAGAGAAATCTTAACATAAAATTAAATGCAAATTTAAAAAATTTTATTAATTAAAGTGGCAGTGTTTTCATAAGATGAGGGAATAGTCATAATCATAATCCACGTAGTCCGACACTTGAAACATAATATTACGCTTCAAGCTTGGATGCGATGTCAAATCTGAGGTCCAAGTGGGAGTCGGAAAATAATCGAACACAGGGTCAGAAACACTTGGCTGTATTCAGGGCAGTCCTGTGTGATGTCACGTAGGCAAGGCAAGTTTATTTGTATATCACAATTCGTGCACAAAGTAATTCAAAGTGCTTTACATAATAAGAACTACATTAAAATCACAAAACAAACAAATCAAAACATAAATAATCATCATGAAATTAAAAATAGACATTAAATGAGAGAGAAGAGTGCAGAGTGAAAACCTTCCAGTCAAACGCAGCTGAACAGAAGCATTTTGAACCTGGATTTAAAGAGCGTCAAAGTAGAAGCCTGTCTCACATGTTCAGACTGTTCCAGATTTTAGCTTCATAAATCTGAAACACTGACTCTCCATGTTTAGTCCTGTCTCTGGGCACCAGCAGGAGGCCGGTCCCTGAGGTCCTCAAAGTGCAAAATGGTTCATATGGCACTAACATGTCACAGATGTACTTTGGTGCTCGGCCATGGAGAGACTTGTACACAAGCAGAGCTGCTTTAAAGTCTCTGAGCCACAGGGGGCAGTGCAGAGACCTGAGCACAGGACACCTGAGCTCATACTTCCTGGTTTGAGTCAGGACCAGAGCTACAGTGTTTTTGGATGTACTACAGCTACCTCATAGCTCGTTTGGAGAGATCAATGAGCAGAGATGAGCCTCTCCAAGTCTGCTTTAGACAGTATACATTTGATTTTTGCTATGTTTTTTTTAGATGGTAAAAGGCTGCAGATGTTATTGATTTGATGTTAAAGTTCAAGTCTGAGTCCATTATTACCCCTAGATTTGCCTGATTTGAAGGTTTTAGAGAGATAAAGACTGGAAGTGATTTCTGACACTGTCTCTTTGTTTCTGTGAGTTAAAGACTTTGACTTCTGTCTTGTCTGAGTTTAGCTGGAGAAAGTTGTTTTGCATCCACACACTGATCTGTTGGAGTGAGTCCACTGGTCCATAGTAGTACTTGAAATTGCAATGGCCACTAGAGGCAGCACACAGTTTTGGACTGTTTTGAAGCTACAAACGTGCCTATCTTGCATTAAAATAACCAAAAAGGACCAGATAGATAGAAAATGCTATTAAAACACCATAAACAGTTTAGTAGGAAAAATATGTTGACTTGTTGTTTAGTTCCACTTTAAGTCTTTTTAACTGCTCTGTCATTATTTGTGAATATTTCTAACAATTATTGCTATTGTTTTACTGTTTTTTTAGTAGCTACCTCTCCCAGAACGCTTTGTGGTATGACACACAATCCTTATGAATCGTGATCGGATCCAAATATATTCTGTGTTTTGTTGCAAAGATATTTAGTTTTCAAATTTTAATTGTTACTATAACCATCCACATTTGTCATTATTGTGAAACTCATGGATTACTGCTGTGTGTTTGCAGGACGATGAGGTGGTGCTCCAGAGTGTGGCCGCCATCGAGAAGGAGCACCGCAAGTTCTGCCTGGCCGCGGAGGGCCTGGGCAACCGGCTCTGCTACCTCGAGTCCACCTCTGAGGCCAAGGTAAGGGCTCCACCACACTGCGAGCAAATGTTAGCCAACTCTCGAAGGATTTGTGGCGGCTTCAGAGGAAACTTTGAAGACTAGAATACTGAGAATATTGACAATATTTCAATCATGCTGGGGGTGTTCTACGTATCTCTATTGGTGTAATATTTGTGCTGTTACCAGGGTGACACAATGTACACATTAGCAAACACAGACAAAATTCTTTTAAGATCGTCTGTGATCAATACGAGCATTGATGATCCTGTTTAGGTGAGAAAAAGGTGAGAGTGAGTAAAGGCCCAACTATAGTTCAGCGTCGACTCAACGCACTCTGCCTCTGTCAACTTGTTGCCGTCGTTTTTGATTTATGGATTTGTGTCGAGGTCTATGTGCTGTGAAGTAATTCAGCGCTAGGGGGCTAGGATTTTAAAATGGCGTTTGTGTTCAGAAAATGAAACGGGAAAGCAGAGTACCGGAAATGTATGTAGAGCGGTGGCAGAGAAGACCAATCACAGCCCTTATTGCCTGCGTTGCTTTCCCTTGCCGTCTGTGTCGGTTCAAAGTGTAGTTACAAAATTTCAGAGGTGCATGACGGTCGAGGAGCGGGTTCAAGGAGAAGCAGACTCTCTGAGATTTGTCGCACGACCATACTTTAGGTTTGGACTGTAATTTTATCTATAAGAGATTTGTTTAAATGTACAGATCATCTCACCTGTTGTAGTTCCAACTATGTTCCAACAGACTGTGTTAAAATAAAGCTCAGTTCAAGTCTAACTTGAGTAACAGAGCTTCAGACAGAGCAGTGCTTTCGGTTAGCTTCACACTCCCAGGGAATGGTGATGACAGCAGCTGCAAAGTATTAATGTTAGAGTTAATGTGGTACAATTTCTATCTATCTGTGGTTTTCAGACTCTAAACTCCTTTAAACCTCTCCCAGTAAGAGACAGATTTGTTGATTGTATTAGACTTTGCCATTAAATATCCAAAAGGTAAATTCACAAATGGATCATAGACCCAAGACCTGGCTATACTGTAATTAAAATCTCCATTTGATCAATATTCATTTAAGATGCGCCCATATTATTCACCACACAGTGATTTTAATAATACCACTTAACTTTTTTATTAATGTAAATGTGAGCTGTGAAATCTCTTTAATTGCAAAGTTTGGAGATGTGTAAAAATGTGTTAAAAGTAAGCTGACAGGGTAATTTAGTTGTCCTGCTGATGGAATGCCTTTAAAAGTTATACACAATATCAAAGTTGTGAAAAGTAATCTAGGAAGTGCAGCTCACTTAAGTTTATGAAACTGTCTCAGCTGTAAATGCTCAGCTCGTTTTTTATTTTGGATTGGCAAAAACTTGTGTTCTGATGAGTGATTTTGGGGTAATTAATATTGTGTTATTTTAGTGAGAATTTGAGTACGTAAATATGAAATATATGCTAATTATAATAATGTGTACTTAATAGCTCGTGCCAGCAGTGCACCAGGTCTGAATGAGTTCTTGGCATGCTTTCTTCTCGATACTGTAAATCAAAGAGACAGTAAAACCAGTAGCCTCATTCTGTGGTCTCCATCTGCTTTGGTAAAGTGCAGACACTTTGCATTGAGTTAATTAGGTAAAGAGCATCTCCAAAGTTAAGTTCAGAGGACAGCTGACGCACTCCAACTTTAGTCTTCTCTATGGCCGGACAATCCAAGATCTAAAACAACCACAGTGGATTTGTGACGCAGATATCTTAGCTGATGTTTCTGTATGAGTTCTGCTTCCTGATCAGACTGTGATGTCTTAGATTTTGAGAAATGAAATTGGAATGATTATCTCTGGTCCCAAGGGGCATCTCTGTAAGACTGTTGTCCACGCTGAAGGATAATGTACTTTGAGTATATGTATAGTGCACATTGTGATTTATGCTGTTGTCAATAATAGCATAATGGCATATTTGCTGCTGGTTTGACTGGGCTTTACACGCTATAATGTGGCAGGGTGATAAGCAGATGATCACAGCCTCCACACCAGCACGCTTTGCTTCACAAGCTGTGTATTTCAAGCTCAGGCCCAATGAAGGAAGTTATTATGAAGTGATAAGACCTGACAGCCATGTTCCAGCTTATCCTTCACTGACGGTTATGTTAGTGTCATGAAGGTAGACTCTGTCAGTCACACGTCTGCTTTCTGGTCTGGGCTCTGCATAGGGAGTAAAAATGGACAAAAATGTTGGACTCCGCGCTGCAGTGGTCTTGTCTGAGTCATGTAGTGACATCTGTGATGATTGTCGATTTCATATGTGAGTTCTCCTGATGGTCCCTGTTCTGTCCTGTCCTGCTGTGCCTCCCGGAGCGTCACGTGTTGAGTTTCAGCACAGGCTCTGCTCATTATCACCACAGCCCTTCCCTGCGCTCACATTTCTCACTTCACTGCTCGGGTCAGGGGTCAACTGCTTCTGTTACCGAGTCCTGCAGACGCCCAATACTTACATCTCCACAACACCTCTGACTATAAGTAACGATGAATAAAAATACAAGCACGCTTACTATACAGGCAGTATTGTGCAATCTCTAAGGTCTCAAATTTCTATTCCAGACTTCTACAAAGTGTTTCACGTGATAAGCCTCTGGGCCTGGGGTATTGTTTTGTTGAAAAGTTAAAAGAACATATACTCAAGCCAAAAAAATGTAATTAAGGGTCACACTTCTCTAATGATGTCTTTGATAGATAAAGGTTCATTAGGTACATTTTAAAGAAAAAGACACATTCCTACATAGTACACAGTTTATACTGGATAACCTAGTTTACGCACTAACTCTTGAGTAAAGGGTGATGGAGGTACAAAATATTTATTTATTTATTTGTTTGGGACAGAGCATGTTAATGGACAAACATAACACAGCATGAATGTACACACCGGATTGTAGCCTAAGACTAATTTCCATCTGTTGTCCCAAAGAGCTGGGGTCACAGGTGGCCAAACAATTAAATATTTTGCTCTCCACTCATTGCATGGTTCCCAATATTGCACAGTCCTCTCATTGCACAATTCATGTTATTTTGCAGTCAATTTGGCCACACATTCAATACATATTTGCAAAAATTTCAAACTCGTTTTCAATACTACTGTAAGGAAGAGACTAGATACTCAATGCTGATTTCGATACTACAATGATGATAAAAAAACATTCTTTCTTTAGACAATAGAATGTAATTTTCAACATTAAACCATAGGACTTTGTTTCTGTGGTCCATGTCCCATGTTGTCTTATATCTTTGTAATCCTTCAATGGTCCAGGTAGGTTCCATAATTGTCCATGGGTGTATACGAGTCTATGTGCTCTTATACTTGTTCTGATACAGCTCAAGATCATTCTAAAGCTATTCAGGAAAGGTTCACTTCCTTCATGTGAATATGATTTGTATTGATTTAGTTCAAATGAATATCTAGTTTCAATAATCGATTAGTATCTGATTTTCAATACTTTGGACAACCTTAATTGATTCCTGATTTTGTTTTTCCTTTCCCTGCCACAGTATGTTCCTCCAGACTTGTGCATCTGTAACTTCGTGCTGGAGCAGTCTCTGTCGGTGCGAGCTCTGCAGGAGATGCTGGCGAACACCGGGCAGAGCAGCGAAGGGGTGAGTGCTCTACTGTCTGCTCCCTAATATTGTTTTCTATTTCTCTAGTACCATATTAAACAAAATGTGATTTTGGACTAAAACTGAACCAAAACAGATATCACCAAGTGTGGGTTCCCAATTCAAGATACAGATTCAGGATTCTATCGTAAATAACTGAAAAATAATTCAAATACAGTTAAAACATTAAACACTGCATAGTTTTGAAGCTTGTACTTATACAATACAAGTGGGTGTCTGAACTGGGACTTAACCTAAAACTAAACCTGGACTAAACCAGGTTTGGACCAGGACTAAAGACCAGGACTTAAACCAGGACGCAATCATGACAAGTGGGAATGCACCCCAAGGCAACTTTCCAGGATTTCACCTTTGTTTAGACCAAATAAGAACAACAAACAAACCAATACATGGAATCACAACTTCAGCCTTACAGAAGGAAGACACACGAAAACAAGATGTTCACAAGAAGATGTTCTTCAGATATGGGTTTGGTGTGATTATATTATCTCATCATTAATACAATTTTTCATGTAAAGTGATGAGTAAGATCATCTATACTCAGTTGTTCAACTGCAGGTGTCTGTTTCTTTTTGGGCCCGTACTGTGTAGTGAAAGAGACGAGACAGTGCGATATTGAAAGTGCGTGTGGGGACAGGACCAGAGCAGACTGATCTGTGAGTGCACTCTTTCTGCGCTCTGCTCTTTCTTAATCAGTGCCTCTGGGAGCTCCACATTCTTCTGATGGCATCATCACAGTTATATGTATTTCTATGCACCATTTTACCTTCACCAGTACTACCTTTTAAGACACCATGTCAAAATGGGGCCTGCCTTTTTGGGACCAAATTCTTCTGTATTTTCAAAACAACCAGAAACAAAGAGAAAACATTGCTTCCTTTTTAAAACATTTTATATAGAGAAACAAGTCATTACTGTCTAGAAGCAGTGGCATTCTATCTCTATTCCTCAAGGAACCTGAGTTCTGTGCTTTTAACACTCAGTCTTATTGTACACAGACCAATGGAGTCCAAAAGGAGCAAGAGATGAGAATATCTGTATAGCATGAATGCCTGCAGTGCATTTACAGCCTCAGTGTCTACCACAGCCCTGAGTGCATCAGTACACAGAGTGCACAAAGTACACAGAGTACACATACTACAGAGTGGGGCTCACTGAGTGGCTGTGAGTCCCATAATGCAGCACACAGCGTGGTCGGTAGCTCTCAGCGTTGGTCTGCTGACAGTCAGCTCTGCATTGTGATTAGGCAGTGAGCAGATTTGTATTGTAGTCAACAAAGCCTCATGGGTGGCTGGCCTTGTTTGGCAGCACTCCACTGCTGGCTAGAATGCAACTCTGAAAAAGGGGCTAATAAATCATCACTACCTGAGAGTGGGCCCATTTCTCTCCCTGTTATTCTCACATAGTGTAACACATAGTGTAATTGCTGCCACACTTTGCAATAACACATTCTATTTGTATTTGTGTCACTAGAGTGCTGACCATGAAAAATGGGTAGGTTGATTTGCTTGTTCATTGCCTCGTCAGATTGCATGTCCATGTCCCCGAATGATTTAATACCACCTCTCACCCTCTGCTTTCACATGCCTTTACTTGATTGTCACTCGTATCACTGATATTAGTTAGAAAAAACAAAACAAAATGACAGATAGTGAAAACGTCAGCATACATCCATCTTAATTGACAAAGTGATAAGTGTAACCGTGTGAGTGTACAAATGTATTCGTTTTTGTGATAGCGTCAGATAAAGTTCTCAGCACACCATCACTCACCAGACCGGACACAATCAATATCCCAGTGACAGGGCCCTAAACTTTAACTTATGACAATCCTGAAATAGACATGGCGCTGTCTCCTTGTGCACATAAGTCAGATGTTTGCAGTTACAGTGACACACACGTTATGAAGAGATTCCTCTAAATGATAATGTGGAAACATTGTGTGAGCAGCTCTGTTTTCTCTGGGTTTGGTTTAACATTTCATTTGATGATCTGATGATCTGACCTGAGGAAATGTCCTGAAATCCCTTTAGATTTCAGTGAGTTCTTAAAACATTTTTTTTTCCAGTTCTCTGTTTTTTTCATTCTTCAATTTATGTTTATATTATAAACTCTTTTTAATAAAAGCTACTTTACGTAAACTTGACTGTATGCTGATAACAAGCATGAGATAGAAACAAAGAGAATGAAACATATAACACCTTGCCTGTAAAATCAACTGCGAAAAATACTTGAGGCTCAGTTATAAGTTCAACAGCCACTCCTGTTGACCTGTCTGCCCTTGTGTAGCTTAATATATGAGATTAATATGCTATTTTTATTAGAATGAAACCACAGTCAGCAGTACTGGTAATCTTTGATGACACAAGAGCACAACACTTCCCAGAGCGATGTAGCTGAGTGAGTAGTCTATGTGTGGAGGAGTGGATCCACACTACACCTGTGAATGTAAATGAAATGGAACAAACCATGTAGTGTTGTTGACGGGAGCGGCAGAGGAGCGAGCAAAGGTCACACTTCTCTGCACTGATGTGTCAGCATGAGCACAGGCCTGAAATACCAGGCTGCCCACTTCAGACCAGCTGCTGCACCACTCTCCAGTCCATTTGTCTTTTATCAAACCATTTCAGTCCACCATCAGTGAAAGAGTCACACCTTTGTAGTAGATATAATGTGAAGGGAGTGTGCTGGACAGGGAGTTGGGCTGACCAAAAGAATCATACCCAGATGCTAATTGACATTTTACTAGTATCCAAACTAGATACTGACTTGAGGAGGCACTGATGTTGTTCCGAAGTATGGTTTACCTTTCTATTTCCATGAACTCATGCAGAAGACGTGCCGCCTCCAGAAGGTCACATACTGTGCCTTTAACATTTCCAATGGGCTGATTTCAGTGTGTCAATGATGCACGACATAGTTTTGAAGGAAGTATTTGAATAGAAAGTGCTTAATCTTGCCTCTTGACAAGAAGATGTCTGCATTTATCAAACAGCAGACTCCTTAATTTTCTTACCTGTCCTCCTCCTTCATTTCAAACATTCTAAAGAATGTTTCTACTTTTAGTAAGGGAAACATATTGCTGTTGTAGAAAGTGCAATGAGATCATTAAGCATTGCATGGCATTACCTAAGACAAAAATGTATTCTTTTTTACTGCCTCTAGAGGTTGATTAAAAGGGTAAGTGTAAGTTTTGAATTTTTGAGTCTAGAAACGTCTAATCCTTACGTTCACATTTCCCTTGAAAGAATGTGCGTTTCCTCTTTTTCGAGATGTGTTTCTGTATGATCTGATTGTGAAAATGCGTGCCATTATCATTGTTTTTTTGCCTGCATTCTGACTGAAACTCAAACACAGCATTTTTTTTTTACTGTTCCATATCTTATCACTCCAGCATGCTCTCCTATTGGTTTAAACTTTACTATAATAAAAGTTAAACTGAAGAGTTATATGTCAGGAGGAGTATAATGTGCACATATGATGTTCTAAAATATGTATTTTTGTCTGTCCCAGGCGGGACAAGGAGGGGGTCACCGGACCCTCCTTTATGGTCATGCCATCCTCCTACGACACTCCTTTAGTGGAATGGTAAGTGCATCATTAGGCACAACTTTCATGGACTTAAACTGTACCACATATTTGCACTAATCTGTTACTTTGTAATCCAGTATCTGACCTGTTTGAAGACATCACGGTCTTTGACAGACAAGTTGTCCTTCGATGTGGGACTACAAGAAGACTCAATAGGTACAGGAGACAGTACCAGTACTGGTACAGGTTTTGTTCATTATTCTCTCTTGGACAACACAATTAAAACATTTCAGCTTGCATTTTAAGAATCTAAATATATCTCACACTACTATATGATTTTAAATAGAAATGCTAACTCTGATGCCATTATATTATTTACTATTAGATGCTTGAATTAATATTTCATTAATGTAGGGCTGGTAATAATTACTCTTCATCAAAATTACTGAAGAAATACCACCTGTTATTCATTTCAAACCACCCAACAGCCCTGCTTCATCACTGCGTTGTCCTGTACTGTACTTGACACTTCAGCCTTTGTGCGATGTCAAGTGTAGTATCTATCATATGTTTAAGAGTCATTTGAATGACTGTGTGCAGGTGAGGCTTGCTGGTGGACCATTCATCCTGCCTCTAAGCAGAGGTCAGAGGGAGAGAAGGTCCGAATTGGAGACGATCTGATCCTTGTGAGCGTCTCCACAGAGAGATATCTGGTAGGTATCTAGCTATATAACTTACAAGTTCAAGAATGACAAAGGGAAAACACCTAGTTATGTTTTCTGACCAACTAAAAACTACCAATCAATATGCATCATAGACTGTGTACATAAATGAACAAACCAAAGTCGCCCCTGCTTTTCATATTCATCAACTCTGGCTCTAATTGACTTTACCTTAAAAAATTGTCACCCCTCACTCTAACTGCTGCAGTGAGCCTTGTCATTTTTGTCTTAAAATGTTTGTATTCAAACTGATCTACATGATCCTAGTGTTTTATTTCACTGTTTTGTACGTAAATAAATTAGTATTCCTAATATTGAGGTTGGCCCCAAACTCGCTCCTATAATTGACTAGAGCCAAATACTATGGGGGTCATACTCCATTAGTCCACTTCTTTATGCAGTCTATGATATGCTCATGGCATAGCTGGGCTCATCTGTTTTGCCGTAGTTTAATAGCCTTTGGAAAACTTGGATTCCCCATCTCAGTTCACCAACACAGTACAAGTGACAAGGCAATTGAGGAGGAGACTTTTGAGCCCATATCGGTAATGGAAATCTGATTACCTGTGAAGCCGCCTCTCCTCCTGCACTCCCCCTTGAGAAAGTGCCATTCTGTCTGATGAGCCTGTAGTTATAATGCTCTGTATCCCATATGCACAGCTCTACCTGACCTCAATTAACTTGCTCAGTAAAGAAACAGATGAGTGAGCGGAATTTTAAAAGAGACTACAGATAAAAAAAACAGATACAAAACTATATTGGACAAACACAGGCTCATTAGATACTTCTTCCTGGCTTGAGTGGGTGTTTAGATGGAAAAAAAGAAGTCTATGGTTTTGATATTTTATTAAGCTCCTAAATACCAACTTTTTCTTAAAATTTCTTAAAGGGCCCATATTACGCTGTTGTCTGATCTATGTTTTGATGTTCATAATGTTGTTTCCTCATTACAAACATACTAGAAGTTGTGTTTTGTTTCATTCACACATGTTAAATTTAGGCTGAGTTCTTCTCTCAAACAAAAAAACTAAACTCTGTACACCTTTACTAGAATAATTTGGACAATTTCAGCCCTGGAATTGACAACCTCGACTGAACAAAAGGTAAAAGGGAGCCATTAACTTGAAAACTACAGCTGCACAATATCACAAGAAAAGAACATTTTGAACTGAGATGTAGACAGATGAATAAAACGTCTAATTAACGACTTGTGTGAATGAAAGCGTATGTTTTTATTGAGTTAACAGCACTATAACATGGCTTAGAGCTCACAAGAATCAATTTGCCTAGTATTGGACCTTTAATGTACTTTATTACACTATTTAATGTGTATTCTTCATCTTATTTTGCTAAATCAAAGTCATTGATCTAGTATATTCTGTAACTTTATTAGTGGTAATTGGCTCGATATTCAGTATTGACTCGCCGTTTGCAGCACCTCTCCGCCTCCAATGGGAACTTCCAGGTGGACGCTTCTTTCATGCAGACTCTGTGGAACGTCCAGCCCACCTGCTCCTCGGCCAACATGGCTGTAGGTACGTTTCACTTCAAACTACTGACGACAAAATATGGCTCGTTTTGTTATCCTCACATTTCTCCTTGACGCTACTTGACAGATTCCCAGTTTATAGCTTAACGGCTGATTTTTTGTCCAAATTGAGTTTTCTGTTTCATTTTATTGTTCAGACCTTGCAGCATCATTAGGTGTCACTGCCTCAGCCAATCAAAAAAAAAAAAAAAAAACAACAACTGCCCAGTCAGCCCAGTTCATTGTCTCAAAAGTTGTTAAGCAATTTTACTAAGAGGCTAAAGATATGCCAGCTGTTTGGCCCAATACCACTTTAGTACCATTTCTCATTGTTTTTTAGGTTATTTGATTGGTGGCCATGTTATGCGACTTTGTCATGGACACGATGAGAGTTTAACCATCCCAGGAGCAGACAAGAGTGAAGAGGAGCAAAGGTCAGTATGTTTAATTGATTTGAAGCTAAATTACAATGAATTTGAACCCATTTCTTGCTGCTTACTTTTTATGATCCTTACCCATTTGTTGTTGTAAAACTTTGGAACTTACAGTACATTTTTTATTATTGCAACTACTATATATTTCCCAAAAGATATATTTTATTTAAGGCATTGTGGTGCTGTTCTTTGTCCTCAGGATAGTGAACTATGAGGCAGGGAAAGGAGCATCCAGGGCCCGATCGCTGTGGAGACTGGAGCCGTTGAGGATCAGGTGGGCACACTATTAAATCCATAGTAGTTTTATGACAGCTGGTTCCGAAGTGATGTTTTGCACTGCCTACAACACCGCAGTAATATGAGCTATATATAAAAACCTTCTGGAGTTCAGGGCCGGCTGTCACTTTAGATTGGAAGCTGTGTTGTACCTCCTTTAACTGGCCATCTACACCTTTCCCCCATCTTGTCATCTGCTTTTGTACTTTGCAGATGGATGTGTCAGCGCTCACTTTTAGAGTTCTGAACTAAACCCTGAACTCACCATATTTGTTATTTAAAATCAGACAAAAGACTATAGATGACACGGGTTGAGTTGCCAGAAAATGTACGCAAGTAAGAGTAATATTACCTCAAAATAATATACCGTATTTTCCGCACTATAGGGCGCACTCATAAGACTCCAACCCCATCAAAAAACGACTGCGCGCCCCAATCCAGAGCACCCTATACACTACTTCACTCAGGTGTCCCAGCATGACTTCAGTAAGCTACAAAGCTGCACCACCCGCTGCACATGCAAACACGCACGGAGCAGACAGCGACCGCACAGCAAAAAACACCCGCAGACAAGAAGAAACGTCTCAAACTTCAGTAGCCGGACATCCACTCTTACCTAATTGATACAACTATTCTAGCCTCCAGGAGAGTCTGAAATTTGCTGAAATCCTCCAAGACACTGACATGATACAGACAGGACAGCGGTTCTTTCTGCAGGAGACATGTGCAGTAGAGCGGGGGTCATGCGCCAAGGAAGATGCTCATTTGATTGTGTTTTGAACAGTTATTTTGCGCTTCATACACACACCGTCCTCATGGAAAACACATGAAGAAATACAGATGATGCAGCTTTTAAGTTAACGGTGATTGATGTGGCTGTCAAAGAAGGAAACAGAGCTGCTGCACATGAGCTCGGCATCAATGAGTCGATAGTGAGATTTTGGCAACGGCAGCGTGACAAACTGACTCATTGCAAAAAGACAATAAAAGCTTTCGGAGTCAATAAAAGCAGGTGGCCTGAATTTGAAAACGTTCTTGAAGACGTGGACACCTACGGCTTATATTCAGGTGTACAATTTTAAACTTTTGTTAAAATTTACTTGATGTGGCTTATATTCAGGTGTGCTCAATAGTCCGGAAAATACGGTAATGTAATCCAGAAAAAAGGAACAGTCTTACACTACTGAAGAGTAAGAGTACTGTTACTTCAATAAAAACATTACTCAAATAGGAGTAAAAATATGCTGCTAGAAGACTACTCTGAAAGTTGCAGTCCTACTACCAGCCTAATATGATGGATGCTTTGTCATACCATTGTGTAACTGTGTGGTTTAACTTTGTTCAGCTGGAGTGGTAGTCACATCCGATGGGGACAGCCTTTCCGACTACGCCACCTCTCCACGGGCTATTACCTGGGACTGACTGAAGACAAGGGCCTGGTTCTTCAGGACAGGGAGAAGTCGGATACCACTGCCACGGCTTTCTGCTTCAGGCCCTCCAAAGTACAGTAAAATCTTTACCAGACTTTCTCATTAGTGGTTTCTAAACAAGTCTCCAATGAGGTTAGAGCTCCCTAAATGACCTTTTCAGAATTATTGAGCAGACAGAGCAGTAAATGTTAAAGCCTTCAATTTATTGCATTTCTCATTTCTAGCACATAAAAATAAACACTAAAATGCACTTTCTTTTTACCCATTTGCACAACTTTCCTTGGAGCTTTTTTTCGTAATTGCAACTTTTTGCCATGTTCTCTAAATGTAAATGCCCTTCATAAAATGGTCTCTTTCACATTTGTGTCACCCTACAGGAAAAGGGTGACATGGGCCCAAAGCGAGACATCGACGGCATGGGTGTACCTGAGATTAAGTACGGAGACACCATGTGCTTTGTTATGCACGTGGCTACAGGACTGTGGCTGTCCTACCAGGCTCCTGACGCCAAAGCCTCCCGCCTCGGCCCGCTCAAAAGAAGGGTAATTGTAATCCTACTGGCATTGTTAATACCACATTACAGCAATACTGCGAATTAGAGTAACCACATTTAAGTGTCATATGTCCTGTAAAAATGTCATAACACAGCTCCTCTTTCATAAGCCATAACAGTGCGGTATTGCAGTTTCTTTTATGTGGGACACTGGCTTTAGGCAGGCTTGCGGTACTTTCAGTTAGATGAGAGTCGCCTCTCTCTGGTGTCTGGGTGTCCATGCAGATTTGGCTGCAAGCCAGTGCACCTGACACCTTCCAAGTGATTAATCATCTTCATAATTATCTTTTTATAGAGGGTACCGCAAACATTTGTTTTAGCTTATTGAAATGTTTGGATTTAACATACTCATCATGTACTAGGCTGTGTTTCTAAAGAAGAGCCACGCTCTGTGTGTTTGTGTGGCTCCTCACAGGCCTGCTTACACTCTGAGGGTCACATGGACGATGGGCTGATCCTCCAGCGCTGTCAGCACGAGGAGTCTCGAGCTGCACGAATCATCCGTAACACCACCTTCCTCTTCAGCAACTTCATCAAGTACAGCATTAGAGCACAATATGCTTCTACAATACTCTGTTAATACCATCTAACAGCATAATTTCTCCCTTGCTCCTAGAGCCTTAGACAGCACAACGGAGGGTGACTCCCAGGTGGCAGGGTACATAGAAGAGGTGCTTCAGACACTCAATGACTTGATTGAGTATTTCAAGCAGCCAGACTCTGAGCTGGAGCACGAAGAGAAACAAACCCTCCTACGGTCACTCATTAAACGCCAAGACCTCTTCAAAGAGGAGGTAAGGAATGTCATCAAACCTGCCTTCAATCTGGCTATCTCTTGTTCAAAGATGGACATATAATTTCAGTCTAACTTCGAGTAAAATGAACAATTTGTTCTGTTTGCCTAGGGTATGCTTGCTCTCTTGGTCAAATGCATTGACCGAATGAATGTGTACAACAATGCTGCACATTTTGGAGAAGTAGCTGGAGAGGAAGCTGGTGCAGCATGGAAGGAGATTTGCAACCTTCTTTATGAACTTTTGGGTGAGCACACTGTATTCACACTAATTCACCCCTAACTCCACTCCACATCCTTTTCTTATAGGTTTCAGTGGTTGACCTAGAGCTGTTTATAACTTTGTGGGGGCCATGTACAATGCTACCGAACAATGTAGCAAATTACCTTTAATTATATCCCAGTCAAAGTAAGCACAGAAAAGATCAAGATGAGCTGTCAGTGTACTTAAGTTTCAAACTGGGAAAAGTAGGTAGTTTAAACTGTTGATTATATTTGTAACAGGCCAAAGTATATCCCTCTTCTAGAGGGTGCATAGTCAGCAATGCTCCCAGACCAAAATGAAGCATAGTTTTCTTGCATTCTTTTTCTTCCATGTTTGCATCATTGAATTTTTGATAATTAGATGCACATTACACGTAAAGGTCTCAGATTTCTGCTTTTATGTATCTTACAAGTTTGCGTAATTAAAATTTTTATTTAGCTGAGCTCACAACACAGTTTTTTGATGAATTAAGAGGCATTCCAGGACAACAAACTGGGTCATTAAAAGGCCTGGCAGGTGCTAACGCCTTTTCACACATTTTAAGAGTGTGACCTTGAAAGGTTTTATTTTTGAAATTGCTTCTTGTTTTACCATCATTAATCAGCTTTGCCCTCTGAAAGATGCCCGGGCTGAAGGTAACCATCACTTTTCCAGCACAGATGACTTTCCTTGACATGTTAGAGTGTGTGACCCTCAGTGGCCCTCCTGCAGTGAGGTCATCTTCAAGAATGCTGAGCCGGGATGTTTAAAATGAGCGTTTTATGATGAATTGTACAGGGGCCCACTTCAAACACTTTGTGAAAATCATTACAAACAATATCGAATGGTCCTGCCTTGAAGCTACCTGGACATGTAGTTATAGAATTTTCTTAATGAACGCTCGGGGAACAGCAGAATTAGAGGATATTAAACAGTCATCAGCTTTACTTTAGCACAAAGTGTGGTTAATGAGCACTATCAGTCTGCTGCCCTTGAATCCTAATTGCAAGAAATTAGACTGGGAAACTTTCTAATGTTACTTTTAAGTTAAAACAAAGCTCTACCAAACTATTGTAAGTCAGGCCTTATAGTCTGGCCTTATAAGTTTTGTGTAAGATGGCCTCTCCCTTTATCTCTAATTAGACTCATTTTACATTGCACATTTATTTGATTGCTCAGCTGCCTTGATCCGTGGCAACAGGACCAACTGCGCCCAGTTTTCCAAGAACCTCGACTGGTTAATCAGTAAACTGGAGAGGCTGGAGTCTTCATCAGGTATTTAAAAAAAGATGGGTATTATATTTAAAGTGGACATGATTCATTGATAACAAAATATTGCTTTATAGGAATCCTGGAAGTCCTCCACTGTATCTTGGTGTTAAGTCCCGAGGCTCTGAACATCATCCAAAAAAGTCACATCAAGTCTATTATTTCTCTGCTCTACAAAAATGGACGGAACCATAAGGTTGACATCACATATTTACATTTGTTTACTAGTTTACAGCAGTATTTACTCATAAAGCACAACACATAAACATGTAAACAAGCATCAGAGAGCGGAGGGATACTATTTACAATTGGCTTCAATAAGACCTATATTAGGCTTAGAGACACCCTTGGACTTGATGCTTGTTAGATAAATCTGTGCCATAGCTGTTTCTTAAGCCTCCTATCATGTTACCATCTGTTGTGTTTACCTTCTCACTATGTGTTTTACGTGTTGTGTTAAACTGGGGCTCCAATATTTACTCTGTCAATTCACAGGGCCTGAAAGGGCACGCTTGTAAACAACAGCTGCTAATCACATGAGTCTGTTCCAATAGCTCATAGCGTTTTTGTAGTTGTTGGAGGATGAGTGAAACAAATAATTGAGTGAGATTAGGATAAGGATTACATATACTATATATTTTCACACTTTTTTTCAGAGCATGTGACAAAATCTGATATTTTATAATGTAATCTTGTGCTTTAGATTCTGGACGTCCTGTGCTCTCTGTGTGTCTGTAATGGAGTTGCAGTCAGAGCCAATCAGAACTTGATCTCTGACCACCTGCTTCCTAAGAGGGACCTGTTGCTTCAGACCAAACTTGTCAATGATGTTCAGAGGTAAAAAGAGATATTGCATCTCGCTAATTGATACTTGGCAGTGATATCACACTGGGGACGTATTGCATGAATGTCTATGTCGGAGTGTTCAGTAGTTACTATGGAGACACAATGCCCACATTAGCAAACAGTGTCTAACTGGAAAACCATTGGCCAATAGACCTCTTTCACAGTGGCAGTAACCACCTAGTGCCTCTGCTCAATTTCATTTCTCTCCAGCGACTAGGTTAGGAATCAGAATACACTAGACGGTTCACAGAAACCCTGGAAATGTGAGTCTGGGCACCAGCCAATCAGCGACGAGCCATACATTCTGTGTTGGCAACGATTCCCGAGATCGAGGATTTAAAGCCAAGAGAATGTTTGGTGAATTTTATCAAGAGGAAAGACGTTATTGCCCTTCTTCCAACGGAATTTGGGAAAAGCTTAATATACCAGTTAGCCCAGTTAGCGGCTCATTACATACATCACGACCAAATAGCAGCAACTGGTTAAATAAAAAAGTACCCATGTTGCGTCGAGTGAACAAATCCTAATACTGCGAGGTCAGACGGTTTCCACAAAGTGAAACCGGCTGATGAATCAGGGTAAGGAAATACTGCGATGTAGGATAAACGTCACTTCCGGTTAATGCTTTTCTATGGCGAAATATCTGTGGAAATGGCTTGCGTATTTTCCACCAGCTTCATATTCATATTATTCATGACCATAAGGTTAGTTTTGCACAGGAGTAGTTCACTAATGCTGGTCGTTGTTCGCTTTGAAGTTTTCATCTTTCTTACCTTGATAGTTGTGGATAAATTCTTCATGGACAGAATGTGTCCTTTGTCGACCTTGTTGGATGAAGATTTATGAAGCTAGTGGAAAATACACAAGACATTTCCACAGATATTTTGCCATAGAAAAGCATTAACTAGAAGTGACGTTTACCCTACATCACGGCACTTTCGGCTGTTGTGAAAAAAGTCTGATAACCATCTTGTGACTGTAATGTTATTTGAGAGGACTTATTTAACTACAGAAATCAGCTCATCTGTTAGAGTGCTACTAAACCAGTTATTTATAGTCAGATTGTGTTCAAAACAAGCTTCAGATTAAAATGTAACTTGCGTAACAGAGCCTCAGACAGAGCAGTGCCTACAGTTAGCTTGCATCATACCCCCAGGGAATGTTGATGATATCAGCTGGAAATTGTGTGTTTGTGAGTGTATTTGTGTGTGTTCTGTCCACAGCATAAGACCCAACATTTTCCTTGGTGTGGCTGAGGGTTCGGCGCAGTACAAAAAGTGGTATTTTGAGCTGGTGATCGACCAGGTGGACCACTTTGTTACTGGAGAGCCCACTCATCTGAGGGTGGGCTGGGCCAACACTAAAGGCTATGCTCCGTACCCCGGTGGAGGAGAGGGATGGGGAGGCAATGGTGTTGGGGACGACTTGTACTCCTACAGCTTTGATGGGCTTCATCTGTGGTCAGGTATGAGTACTAGGGATGTAACAATAACAGAAATATCGTGATATCGTATCATCAGAAGTCTCACAATAATATAGTGGACCATCACAATATATCGACTCACAAGTTTTTTTGCAAAAATGCATGGTTTTATTGTAGCAACAGCTAATAAAAATAGGGAACTACATATCCCATGGTTCATTTCAGCACAGACAACATGAAGAAATATGTATTTTACTTGAATTTTTGGGATTAGGACGGTAATAATTCACACCAAAATCTTGTCAAGGTATTTTAAAAAAATACCTTGACAAATAAAAACGTTTCCTGTCTACAGTTATATTAGCCTCTTCAAAAGATCGCAATAAATATCTTATTGTTAGATTTGGATATCGTTACATCCCTAATGATTACACTTCTTTTATTAGTAACTATTACAATTACTCTCTTTAATATAATTAAGTAGATTTTTGTGGACATTGTGCTTTTATGAATAGACTTTTAATTGTAAATGAGGATAATTCCAGACGTGTAATTGTAATTAGTTACATTTTAAATCATAGAAGAGTACTGTACAAATCCTGTCCCAGTCTACAAACATTTCTGCTCCTTTCTATACCAATACACATTTAATAGCACTTCATCGCTTACTCTGATTGGCCAGAGCTCAGAGAATATGCAGAATTAGACTTTTCTGATTGGTCAAGTTTTGCAAAAAAGCATGATCTAAAATGCTCTGAGTAGTGTTTTTCATGAATACTTTATCATTTTGGCAGCAATAACTGGATTTGTGATTCATTTTTTCATTTTTAGCCAAGTAACTTTGCTTACAAATTTTCAGTTCTCTTTCCAGCACATTTGTCGTTTTACTAAATATTTGTTATGAGTACCCAAGAAAGTTGAAGAGTATTTATTTGGATGACTCACTATCGGTCTAAATACGTATGTTTATATCATGCAGCACTACTCCCTTGTTTTACACAGTAGTAGAGCAAGTAATTGAAATGATTCATAGAACCTTAAAAACTCATTGGGAAGTAAAGGTCAGTAATCCATCTCTGTACTATTAAAAGCACACGTGATACATTAGGTCTTAAGTCCAGTAATTACAGCCTTATCTTTGGACTAAAAACACACTCCTCGAAAGTTCTCCTGAATCGTTTCATGTTAGAGAGCGAATCCCTCCCCTCTGCTTCTGCCTTATCTCCTCTCATCACTATCACTGTGCCCTACATTTGCAGTGACTTTGTACCAATAATACCTATCCGTGGTGCTTTTGTCTAGGCCGAATCCCCCGAGCCGTGGCCTCCATTAACCAGCACCTGCTGAACTCGGACGATGTGGTGAGCTGCTGTCTGGACCTGGGTGCTCCGTCCATGTCCTTCAGGATCAACGGGCAGCCGGTGCAGGGCATGTTCGAGGACTTCAACACCGACGGCTTCTTCTTCCCTGTTGTCAGTTTCTCTGCAGGGGTCAAGTAAGCATCTGCGGCTACAGCTACAACTTCTGTTCAGAGTTTTATGTATATGTATAAATATAGGCATGGAACAAACAAAGAAACCAACAAACTAACAAGAGGAGACACAGACAGACATTCCTTTCATTAACAGATAGATGTATAAATGCATATGTAGTTGGTGACATTATGACAGACAGCCATGGTCACTTACTGTAAATTCTGGACTATAAACCACTACTTTTTTCTCACACTGTGATCCCTGCGGCTAATAAAACGATGTGACTAATATATGGACAGATTCTTTGTTTGGCACATTGTCCATTCATATATACTGTGGTTTGGCAACACAGTGGGTACCTGCAGCCTGAGTGCAGAAAACGCCGCTGTCTGTGCAGGTAACACATGGTTCTAGGGTTCACATGAAGTTGCTACATGAGCTCGCGATATTGTCAGCGCGCTCTAATAGTTTAGCGCCGTGTGATAAAATAAGTCATGGTGCTAAATTAACATTAGTGAGTGGGATACGTCTTACCTGTATGCGTAAATGACGAGAAGAAACGTCTCCAACTTCAGTAGCCGCACATCCACTCATACCTGATCAATACAACTAACCCTGGCTCCCGAGAGAGTCTGAAATCTGCTGAAATCCTCCAAGACACTGACATGATACAGACAGGACAGCGGCTCTTTCTGTAGGAGACATGTGCAGTAGTAGCGGGGGAGAGATGGGGGTGATGCGCCGAGGTAGATGTTCGTTTGGTTGTGTTTGGAGCAGTTATATTGCGCTTCATACACACACCCTCCTCATGGAAAACACACGAAGAAATACGACTGACGTGGCTGTTGAAGAAGGAAACAGAGCTGCTGCACGTGAACTCGGCATCAATGACTCGACGTGACAAACTGACTCAACACAAAAAGACGACAAAAGCTTTCAGAGGCGATAAAAGCAAACGGATTGAACTTGAAAACATTCTTGAAGACGTGAACACCTGTGGCTTATAGAGAGGTGTGGCCTACGTATATGTACAATTTTTAAATTTAGTTAAAATTTTGTCGATGCAGCTTATATTTAGGCGCACTCAAAAGTCTGGAAAATACAGTAGTTTGCTCTTAAGTTGCCAAAAACAGACAATGCAATTAAAAAAAGGCATGTAACGGTATCCACATATCATATTTATTGCGATATTTTGAAGAGGCTAATATAATTGTAGATAACTTGACAAGATTTTGGTGTGAATTATTTCCATCATAATCCCAAGAATTCAAGTAAAAAACATATTTCTTCATGTTGTCTGGACTGAAATGAATCATGGGATATGTAGTTCCCAATGTTTATTAGCTGTTGCTACTATAAAACCATGCATCTAATCAAAGAAACTTGTATTTTGATATATTGTGACAGCCCACAATATTATTGTGAGACTTTTGACGATACGATATCACGATATTTTGGTTATTGTTACATCCCTTCAATTAAATGTGATTAAAACTCCATATAAACAGTTTAGCAGCCACAAAAGTGAATTTAGTGAATAGTGCTGAATAATTAAAGTTGAGCAAACGCAGCTTAGACCTTGGCAGGGATAGGATAAAACCATTTTTTGCAGTATAAAATATTGCATCTAGTCAGAAAGGAAATGGCAGAAAGAAGGATGGGAGAGAGTGCAGATATATGAATGGTTTGAAAGATGATTGCAAAGAGACAAAGGCAGCACATGTGAAATATTGCTTTTTCTCCCTCTAGGGTCCGTTTCCTGTTAGGTGGCCGTCATGGAGATTTTAAGTTTCTGCCCCCTGCTGGTTACTCTCCTTGTTACGAAGCACTGCTGCCCAAAGAGAAGATGCATGTGGAGCCCGTGAAGGAGTACAAGAGGGACCATGAAGGTGTCCGAGATCTGCTGGGAACCACAAAGTTTCTGTCTCAAGCCTCATTCATCCCCACACCTGTTGACACCACACAGGTCTGAAGATCAAAACTAAATCTTTATAGACTGGTCATTTTCGCTATGAAACTCTGGTGACTGTGTCCTTTGACCTTTTTTTTATGGATCTATTGCACCATCTGCTGTCTTGCACCTCTGCAGGTCGTTCTCCCCCCTCTGCTGGACAATGTCAGAGATAAACTGGCAGAGAACATCCATGAACTGTGGGCAATGAACAAGATTGAGCTTGGCTGGACCTATGGCAAGGTATGTCCACCGTTGTTGATTGGAATAACTGTAGAAATCAACAGTGTTTGAAAAAACACTTTATTAGATGCCTTTATGGTCAGTGATAAAAGCTAAACTACTGGTGTTATTTATTTATGTATTTATTTGTTTATTTATTTAATAGAGACAGTGCATATTAATGAACATCTACGGCAATGCAGTGTAAATATAACAGATTATAGCAAGAATGCTAATTTCCATCTGTAGTCCCTAGGCAGGTAACACCACAAGTTTAACAAAGGCAAAACAACAATAACAAGTGACAGTTCTAAACTAAAAGTGTCCACAAGTCTGGTTTTCCACGGTTTCAAGTGAGATTTGAAAGTCACCGGTGTTGGAGTCTCTCTTATTGATAATGGGAGACTGTTCCAGAACTTAGTGCCTCACATTAACACTAACCCTAACTCACACTTTGTCCAAATATGTCTGTATGGGAGGCTAGGCTGTGGCCCTAGTTCCCATCCTACTGACAGTCTTTATTTTAATAAAATCCTGTAACAGGATCCTGTAAAATCAACAAAATTATTCAAATTAAGCAAATTGTACTTATCTAAAATAGTGCAGTGGTGAAATGAGAGTGGGTTCTTATCCAGTATTTTTACAGCTTTTTAAAAAAGTAATTCGACTGGTTTGAGTGTTGTGCTGCAGCAAGTGACCATGTGGTTATGCAAATTACCTACATATAGTAAACAAGTTCCTGGCATAATCTGTCTGACAATTGCACAGGAGTTAATGCAAAATAACTAACTGTGCATTAAAAAAAAAAAAATACTAGTATATAAAGACAGTTAAACTTGTGAATTATGAGTTTATTTTGCCTTTTTACATGTAAATAACACAACATACCAAATCTTCAGATAACTCTCACCTACTAACTTCTCCTCTCTGCTGTTCCATATAATTTTGTATAATCCAAATAAAATAATTAGTCAAGACACCATCTACAGTATACTTGCTTATGTGTGTGCGAGTGTGTGCTGTGTGTTACTATGAAGTGCTTTAGGTGTCTTGAAAAGCGCTGTATAAATGGAAACTAGATTAATTACTTACCTACACGACTAAAAGACTACAGCCTTATAGTGTAGTATAGGATATAAATGATATGTTTTCTTTTCTCAAGGCCCTCTTTACCTAATATGAATGTTGATTGCTTTAGCTATAACCATAATTTTGTGACATAATAAGAAGATATCAATTAAACATAGCCTATTTGGATATTAGACTTTACACCAGCTGCCCTTCCTGACTGTGATCCTTTTCCTAATCCAGTTTTGACATTTGTATCCATTTTACATACATCATAATCCCTGTCCATCACTGGTGTTTGTCTGTGCAGCACAAGCTTGGTTGACAGTCTGGTCACACACGGCCCTGCACAGTTGTGGTTTTCACACAATCCGTCTGCAGTGGGCTAATTCCACCGGGACCATTTAACAAATCTAATGAGTGCTTCACCCTCCAGGAAGATGACACCGGCATTAATTAAAACTGCGAGGAAGGATTCCATAGAGGGAAAGATCGCCATATAAGTTATAAAGGACACCTTTTAAGTGCAAACAGCTGCTAGATTAATATACTGACTCAATAGCCCCAGTGACCCTCAACAGACATGTATCTCTGAGAGAATTTAAAGTAATAAAACCCAGCAAACCGCACTTCATACTTTTGTATTTATCTCACTGATTCACCTACCAAGATATTCCTCCTTTAAGTTTCTATAATAGTGGGATTGTTAGTTTGAATCTAAAACCTAAGCATGTGAGCAAAATCTGTGAGTTTGTATGATAACACAAGAGCAACTAGCCTGTGTGTACAGTTTACTTTGCAGCTACTCAGAGGAAAGTGAAACACAAACAAGATGGTGTGATATGTGATCAGCAGGGCAGAAGTAGCACTAGAGTTCTGTTGATCTAGGCTTTAAAAAGTAGTAGTTTTAGTGTAGCCACCATGTTTGAAAGAGGGAACAGATCATGTTTTCATGGAAAAAAACAAGCATAATATATATGGATATTTTTTCAGGTTCGGGATGACAACAAGAGGCAGCATCCTTGCCTTGTGGACTTTTCAAAGCTGCCAGAAACTGAAAGAAACTACAACTTGCAGATGTCCAGTGAGACATTAAAGTACGACACTTTGCTGCACTGTCCACTTGTTTTAAACACTTGTTTTAAAAAGCTCTGGTTACTGTCTGGGGAGTTGTTAGATTTAGACAAGCTTTATTGATCCACAAAGATCAATATAAATAATGATAATAATAATAAATTCAAAATAAGAAGCAAAGATATCAAGAGACTGGTGTAAGATAAGGCATAATTATAAAATTGTATATGTACAAGTACAAATAAAATATAAAAAAAATACAGTAAATACAAAATATATCTGGGCTATATACAGGAGGTGGGTAAGAGAAACTGTGCAAAGATGAAATAGTGATTGACAGATTGATTGTCCCTCTATAGTCTGGTTCAGTGAGCAGGAGTGTCCATGATGGAGAGCAGTAAAAACATTTAACCCTGTTCACTAAAAAGGTGGTAGTTACTTTTAAGTAAGACAGTGTAATGGTACATAAGAATGCTTGTTATAAACTTGAAATGAGCTTTGAAAATGAGCCCAGGTGCTGTGTGTGTGTTTGCATTGATTACAAAATGTTGTGGAAGTTCGTCTTATATTCTTTCTGGTTTATCACAGAACCCTATTGGCACTGGGGTGTCATGTTGCTCAGGTGAATGTTCACGCTGAGGACGATCTGAAGAAAATCAAGCTTCCCAAAGAGTGAGTGTTCTTCATGTTGAGTAATTTTCCCATATGGACCAGTGTTAATCATGACATGTGATATTTTGTTGTATGTTGCAGCTATATGATGTCTAATGGATATAAGCCTGCGCCACTAGAACTTTCTGACTTAAAGCTGAATGCAGGTCAAGAGTTTCTAGTTGATAAACTGGCCGAGAATGCACACAATGTGTGGGCCAAAGACAGAATTAAACAAGGTTGGACCTATGGTATCCAGCAGGCAAGTTATGCCATTTCCCACTGTGATACTGATTAGAATTTATATATCACAGGGAAATATAATGCATCGCTTTAATAATTTAACATGACAGTTCATTTTTCATATGTGACAGGATTTGAAGAGTAGACGCAATCCCCGTCTGGTGCCATATGCTTTATTGGACGAGCGCACTAAGAAGTCAAACCGTGACAGTCTACGAGAGGCCATCAGGACTCTCGTGGGATATGGTTATGACATTGACCCTCCGGATCAAGAGAGTTAGAAATGTTTTACACTTTCCTCTTTATTGTACACTTAATGGCACTAAAAGTCTATGTGACCTTTTAAAAAATGTTCTTTTTCAGCTGTTCATGTAAATGATGATCAGAGTATTGAGACTATCCGCTTCTTCCGAGTGGAACAAACGTATGCGGTCAAAACAGGGAAGTGGTACTTTGAGTTTGAGGCCATCACTGGAGGCGACATGAGAGTGGGCTGGGCCAGACCAGGCTGCAGACCTGATGTTGAGCTCGGCATAGACGACCAGGCATTTGTCTTTGATGGATACAAGGTAAGTCATATGTTAGCATCATTTCCTTGTAAGGTTTTAGCTTATTTTTTTTAGGTTTATTCATCAGTTATTGTACACTGTATGTGATTTCAGTTTTTCTTACATATTATTTCTTTAAGGGCCGACGTATGCACGCAGGCAGCCGTTACTTTGGCCAGCCATGGAAGAAGGGCGATGTTGTTGGTTGTATGATCAACATGGAGGACAAATCCATGATTTTCACTTTGAATGGAGAGCTTTTAATCACCAGCAAAGGCTCTGAGCTTTGCTTTGCTGATTTTGAGACTGGCGATGGTAAAGGTCCATTTTGTACTTCAGTACTGTACTTCAAATGGAGTGGAAAAAATCTAAAATCCTCCCTCTATTGCAGGTTTTATCCCTGTGTGCAGTATGGGCCAGTCTCAGATTGGCCGTATGAACCTGGGTAAAGACGCCAGCACACTCAAGTTTTACACCATGTATGGGCTTCAGGAGGGCTTTGAACCATTTGCTGTCAACATGAATCGAGAGATCACCATGTGGTTCAGCAAACGCCTGCCCACATTTGTCAACGTGCCTCCGGACCACATGCATGTCGAGGTACTCTAACACACCCTCATCGATGCTCTTAAAGTTTGACCATGGAATGGATTTCACTCACTCTTGTCTTTGAAGGTAACAAGGATTGACGGCACAGTGGACAGTCCGCCCTGCCTCAAAGTCACCCACAAGACTTTTGGCACACAGAACAGTAACAGTGAGATGGTGTACTGCAGGCTGAGCATGCCTGTGGAGTTCTACTCTGCAGACATGATACTGGATGAGTCGCACAAACTCAGGTAAGTTATCGATCACATACTGTACAATCATTTAATCAATATTACTGTTACATTACAGCAAATGTATTAACTTTACTTTCACATGTCTGTAGCCAGCCTCCTAAAGAAGACGGGACAGTTGACTATGGAAGCATCACAATGGTAAATACATACCATAAAGCAAAGACAGGTTTTACCTTTTGTGAATTATTAATAATTATTTTCCTTTTCTGTGTTCACACAGTATTACCACTCTGTGAGAGTGTTTGCAGGACAGGACCCTGCCTCCGTTTGGGTGGGCTGGGTCTCTCCAGATTATCATTACTACAGCAAGAACTTTGGACTCAGCAAAACACGCACTGTCACTGTGACTCTGGGAGACGAGCGTGGACGTGTCCATGAAAGGCAATTTATTTTATATTTAGAAGTATTTGCTGTGGAAACACAAAGATTTACTGTTTGGACAGAACATCAGTCATTTATTAAGTGCATTCAATTTTCCTGTTAGCAGTGATTTAATATATATATTTTTTATTTTTTATAAACAACCTCGCTTCTTACAAAATGCAATGCATCACATTAGATTGTGTTAGAATAGATTTTCAATCTGGCCACCATCAAAAACATCCATCACCTTTGTCAATCTTTTACATTTTGGTTCATGTTTTACTAAATGTTTGATTCACAAATGTCCATTGTTGTTGCTGCTACAGTGTCCAGAGGAGTAACTGTTACATGGTGTGTGGATCGGATGCAGTTGGGCAGTCCTCTAACTCAGACCTGGAGATTGGCTGCTTCATTGATCTGGCTTCTGGCCTGGTCACCTTCACTGCCAATGGCAAGGAGCTGCCCACGACATATCAGGTCAATAGTATTTTAAAAGGTTATTTACTCTTTGTGGGATCAGACATGGTGAAAAGGGGACACACAACAGATTTGAACACAACGACAGGGACATTCATTGTTTTTCTTGCATAGCAAAATATGTATTGAACTTATTTTTCATTCTTAGGTTGAACCAAATACTAAGCTGTTTCCTGCTGTGTTTGTGCGGCCCACAAGCCCCAACCTCTTCCAGTTTGAATTTGTCAAGAACAAGGTTTGTCTTCAACAAAACCACTTTGTTATTTGAACAGTAAATCTGCACTGCAGTAAAAAAATAAAAAATCTAAAATGTTATTTTACTTCAGGATGCCATGCCCCTCTCGTCAGCCATGTTCAAGAGTGAGCGCAGGAACCCCGTGCCACAGTGCCCTCCTCGGCTCGATGTGCAGACCATTGTGTCGGTGCTGTGGAGCCGGATGCCAAACACATTCCTGAATGTGGAGACGGCTCGTGTCAGTGAGAGGCACGGTTGGGTCGTCCAGTGTCTGGAGCCTTTGCAGATGATGGCCGTGCATATCCCAGAGGAGAACAGGTCTGCCACAAAAGGCTTCCCGAGTACTACTGGTTTGCATGTCAGTGTTCATCCATCCAGAGTTAGGAGTTTTTATACGCCAGTATAAATAAATAATACTGTAACAGTTCACTAAAGATGTTGTCAAAAACATATTTGTGAAAGATGAAGAATGGAAGGATGACTTTGCCAATGCATGCAGATAAAATCATCATTCACTCTTAATTGGGTAATTTTGAATGCTTCCCAGCGGATCAAATGTAAAGCACTTTAGGGTTGTCAGAAGTACCCATAATCAGATACCAATTAATACTAAAACTAGTATCAAAACTAGATAGTCATTTGAGCACGTATCCATACTAAAAAGTCACATTCACAGGACAGAAATGAACCTTTCCTGAATAACTTTAAAATGATCTTGAGCTGTATTAAAAGTATAAGAGCACATAGACTTGTTTACGCCCATACACCATGATCAGTATTAAGTATCTAAGGTCTATTCCTTGGTATTGAGTTTGAAAATTTACAACACTACTACACATGCTTTAACTTGTCTCTTCAGGTGTTTGGACATCCTGGAACTGTCTGAGCTTGAGGACTTGAGGAAGTTTCACTATCACACGTTGAAGCTGTACTGTGCCCTGTGTGCCCTGGGTAATACTCGTGTGGCTCATGCCCTCTGCAGCCATTTGGACCAGTCCCAACTGCTCTACACTATCGACAACCAGTACCTCTCTGGCATGCTCCGAGAAGGCTTCTACAGTGTCCTCATGAGGTGAGTGCAGGACACATTTTACACATTTTACTCCAATATCAAATCAAATATCAATCAAATATAGGATGGATTGGAAGGAAAGTGTTTGTTATTAGATTTAAATGACCCCATTGTTCTAAAAAATTCAGTTTTTGCTTACCTCTCATACACATCCACTGCTCTATACTTTCTTTGTTCTCCTTTTTTTATTACATGGTGATACAAATAGGATTTGGCAGCACCATGGGCTTGCATTTTTACAAAAATCCATTGCTTGCTAAAATGTACTGCAGCAAAGTGAGGCCATCCATGCGTGTTTCCCAAACTTTTTTTTCTGGAAAGCCATATTTTAAAAGTGACAAACCTTCGCAATCCAAGTCAATAGACATTATTCATAAATCACAAAATAAAGGTGGATTTGATCATTATTGAACATTAATGAGGATATTTTATTGTTGACTGAGTTATTGTGTCTCTCTGAACAATTAATATTACTCAAGTTTTAAACAATGAAAAACAGTAATTGAATCAGCAACAAAAGGATCAGTCGACTATTTGGACATTAAATGTAGCCCATTTCTTTTTCTTTTCAACCTTCAATTGAACCAGCCATACTGGAACAAAATAGTCACTAGGTCTCTCATGTGTCAGAACTGTGTGTTGCAGACCTACAAGCAGATTGTGACAAGGTGACCAAAAAAAATCTCTTGCGACCCACCACACCTGAAGTTCGCCATCCAGTCTTCTGAAAACAATGATCTAGGCGGTCCAACGGTGTGGCACTTTGTTGTGATGATGTTTACAATGACACTCCGTAAAGGACTGGCAAAAATAAAATAATAATCCATGGGTGTCATAGATAGATTGATAGATAATGATGTACAAAAGCATAATTTAATGTCTTTAAATTTACTGATGTAATTTGTTGACGATGATTAGTCAAACTGCGATTCCAATTAATTATTCGGCAGTACTTTCTCCTATATAGCACATATGCAGCCTCTAAGTGTCTCTCTTTGCTTTCTTTAAGGATTGCACCCAGGAAAACATAATGTGAACTATTTTTTCTTGATTGGGTGAATCATGCCGCAATAGCACACATGCACACAGTAATGCACAGTGATTAAAAATGACAGATTCATTCTTTTCTTCTCCAGTATCCATCTTGAAACGGCAAAAGAGGCTCGCCTAATGATGAACAATGAGTTCATTATCCCAGTCACAGATGAAACACGTTCCATCCGGCTGTTCCCAGATGAGTCTAAGAAGCACTCTCTTCCCGGGGTGGGCCTGAGCACCTCCCTCAAACCTCGTGTCAACTTCTCCCCTGTGGGAATCCTGGGCACGAAGCGGCAGCAGTACCTCCACAGCCCACAGATTCCCCTGGGCATCCTGAAAGAGAAGGCCATCAGCATGCTCACTGAAGCCGTGCAGGGAGGGGGCACCCATATCCGAGACCCTGTAGGAGGAAGTGTGGAGTACCAGTTTGTTCCTATACTAAAACTCATCGGGACACTGCTGATAATGGGCGTGTTAACCAGCGAGGAGGTTCGACTCATCCTGCTTCTGATCGATCCCAATGTGTTCGGGGAGAGCAAAGAGGAGGAGGCCAAGGGAGAGGAGGTGGCCGTGGTGGCGGAGAAGGAGGAGACGAATAAAAATGAGGAGAAGGCTGTGGAGGCAGGAGAGGAGGAGAAAGAGGCTAAAGCACCTGTCAAGGGTCTGCTGGAAAAGTCTCTGCCCGAGTCCGTCAAACGCCAGGTCACTCTCTCACTTCATCTGTCAGCGCTCTCATGAAATTCAAATTGTGTCTGCCTTCTTCCCCTCATTCGATTTGGTACACTAAATCCTCATTCTCAGATGTAATGTTATGATTCATCCTGCTCTGAAAAGTGATTGCATAGGTGCACAGCAAAGTATCAGAGCTGAATGCTAATGCTCTTATCAATGACAGAGCTACACAGACACTGTATTTTTCCTGACTAAACTTTTTTTTGGGGCCAAAAAGCCAGAAATGATAGATGGCTTTTGCAGGTAGTGCCTCAGTTTCATTTACAGTCGTGAGCAAAATCAGTATTACAGCAAAGCAACTCATGCATCTATGTGACTATGTAAAAGTTTTCAGTCTGCAGCGATTAATCAACTAATCGTGACTACTCAACCATAAAAAAATAACCTCATCTTATAAAATCTTATGTTAATCGTATTTTGAAGACTAACTATTATGCTATAGAGACTTGTAAAACACATATGAAAAGACCTTTTTATAATAAAAACAGCAGAATTGTTAAATCAAAATGTCAATATTTGTAAACATTATTTAACTTGCAGTCATTTCTCTCCTTTCCTTGTATTAGTTTTATGTTGTTTTTTTTTATTTTGTTTCAGATGTGTGAGCTGCTGCATTACTTCTGCGACTGTGAACTCAAACACCGCATTGAGGCCATCGTGTCCTTCTCAGATCGTTTTGTTTCTAAGCTGCAGTTTAACCAGAAGTTCCGCTACAATGAGCTAATGCAAGCATTCAACATGTCTGCCGCCGTCACAGCCAAAAAGACCAAAGAGTTTCGTTCGCCTCCACATGAGCAGGTACAGTCTCAAGGACCACACACACAGGGGGATCACAGTCTGTTGGACAGGCTATTTATGTTTACACTTGTTCTTTGAGCGCTGTGGAACTGAGCTTCGAGAAAAATCAATATCTGTGCCCCACACAAAAGATTAATGCCAGAATCTCTAGAGCCCTATGTGACTTTTACTTGAGATTGTTCAATTATTTTTATATTGTGCTTTTATTTTTCACAATACTTCCACAAGACTTGAATCATGACATTTAAGGAGCTGTTGTTTTCTTTTTTTAAAGTACAGGTAACTCTACATCTTTTGATGAAAAATATATTTAGTATGCTAACGGCCTCAGCAGTGCCAGCCAGTTTGTACAATGACAAGGCAGTTTTTTTCTCTCATCTTTTCTCTCAAGACTCTGCCTAAATCAGAGAAAAAATAAACAGCTGAGAAAGAAAGCTTCTGTGCATAGGCCTAAAGCTAAACTCTGATCTTTGTAAACTAAGTACAGCAGCTGTTGACTTGAAGGCAACTTTTTCCAGAGAGCTCCGCCCTCTTTTCACCACATGGTTTATTAAAAAGTACTGCTAGGAATAGGCATCAAAATATCTTGAAAGGAGCTTTGGTTTAGCTTACTCGTGGACAGTTAACACTTATATTTAGTTAGTTTTACACATGGCTTGCAATTTCTAGCACACAGGATATGGCATTGATAGTTTTATTTTTGTCGTGGCTATTTGTGTGTAAGTGTATACGTCACTATTCCTTGAATACATGCACATGCATTTTAGAGTGTCTGGTAATTATGCATATTTCACTGTTGTTTTTTGTGACTCTTCTGTAGATCAACATCCTGTTGAACTTCAGTGCAGGGGATGACTGCCCCTGTCCCGAGGAGATCCAGGAGGAACTTAACAGCTTTCATGAAGAGCTACGATTGCACTGTGGTAGTCTACTACATCCTCATTACTTTTACAAGCACAGAAACAGTTTTAACATGAATATAATCACCTCTGATGCACAAGTATTATAGTGTCTCAATGAAAATCACTTGAGTCTCTTTAAAACCATTTGCTTATTTTAGGAATTCCTGTGGAGGAGGAAGAAGAGGAGCCAGACACGTCGATAAAGGGCCGTCTTCTTGCATTGTTGTACAAGATCAAGGGCCCACCTCAGAAACCAGAGGAAGATCCTTCTGAAAAAGAACAGGCTGCTCCCAGTAAGATATGCTGACATCTACCCATTCAACTAAAAGCCCACTTATGGTTAATGGGAACACCTCTAGCTCGACTTTAATCTCCTAAGTATGTAAAGTAGAGAGGAGCGTCAGGCTGCAGTACACTATTTAATATTACATCCACCACTGGGAGATTATCATGTAAGATTCCAATTACAACATGAGACCAAATGAGTTCAGGTTTATGATGATTATGATAATGTATACAATCTACGTGCCACCATCAGCAACTATTTCCTGCAGCCAATTTCAGTATTTCTCTCAGGTTGCCCTTTTGCCACAGTTCAGTTTCAAATATTAATGTCAAGCCTCTATAGGCACCTGCTTTTTTTCTCCTGTGTTCTGGACCAACTCGCATTATATAAAAGCTTTCATTCATACTTAAAAGAGGTAAAAGCAGCACCCGGATATCGTTGAGGCGTATGATGAAAAATGACACAGTACTAAGTGGTGCTTTGTGTTAGAGCGCAGTAACAAAAGTCCAGTCTTCTTATGTAATGAAGACTTTGATAAAATTCAGAGCAGATGTGAGGCGTTCACCTTCAGAGCAGCCGCTTTGCTCCGTCTGCCTCTGTCCAAAGTCTCATTGTAATTCTGTTTGAATATGACCCTTTGTTTGCTACAGATGTCCCACTGTTGACAGGACTCATGGTTCAACTTTATGTTCAGAATAACAATGTCATCTCAAAAGTTAGATGTAGGGGTTTTGTTGCATAGTAGGTTAATCATAAAAACAATGGGTCTTTTGGTAGAGTAAAGCTGATCAAAATTTGATTCTTATCAGGTATATATCTCTCTATATATGTCACATTAATTACTGAAACTTGAAGTAACAACCACTGTTTACACTTAATTTATTGATCACTAAGAACACTAACAAAAAGTCAAATTGGAATATTTACATTTAGACCTGAATACATATTTATTTTTGTTCCCCAGCCCCCACCACCACCCCATAACATGTCTACATCTTGTATTTTGTAGATTTTTTCTATTAAAAAATGATATTTATATAAAGTATTTTTATTTAAATAATTATATGATGTATTTTTGCCGCCGAATTTTCATCACCTGACAAGCTCGAGATCAAACAGTGCCCAAAAAACAGAGATCAAAAAAGGCACGTGCAGAGTTCAGTTGTGCAGTTAAAGACAGCAAAATGGTGAGTGTTGTATAAAGTATGAAAAGTTGACAGAGAGTGCTGAGTTTTCAAAGAACAGTGGACGACCGATTATTTTTTTGTTATGTGTAAAGACCGTGCAGTTTGTCTGATATGTAAATACAGTGTAGCGGTTTTCAAAGAATATAATCTGCGTCGTCACTATGAAACTCACCACAAAGAGTATGCTAGCTTGCAAGGGCAAAAAAGAGAAGATAGGATTTGGCAGATGAAAGGCCGACTGGCTCCTCAACAGCATGTATTTCTTCATCTGCCTACCTGGCCCCGGCCCCCCATCACAGTCACAAGCAATAATGTGGCCCCCAGAGAAAAACGTTTGCTGACTCTTGCTTTACGGATAGCCCAAAATCAAACAATCAAATATACTCACTACAGAGAAGATGTCGAGGCAGGTCTGATTGCTGAATATCAATATTTATTAGAGTTTAACACTGATGGTTTTTGACTACTAGGGTCTTCATCAGGACAGTGACTGATGCACTGACAGAGAAGGCTATTCTGTGTCCCTGTTTAGATAATACTTTGTGATGTGTGAATGACTTCATGTCTGCCCCTAAATCTAATGTGTGCAGCCAACCTGAAAGAACTGATCTCCCAAACCATCACCAGCTGGGCTCAGGAGAGTCACATCCAGGATCCAGAGCTGGTCAGGGTGATGTTCAGCCTCCTCAGAAGACAGTATGATGGTATCGGAGAGCTGCTGCGTGCCATGAAGAAGTCCTACACCATCAGTGCTGCCTCTGTGCAAGATGCTATCAACCTGTTGGCGTCTCTGGGTCAGATCAGGTCCCTGCTGTCTGTGCGCATGGGCACTGAAGAGGAGAAACTCATGATTGATGGGCTTGGGTAAGAAAGACTCACTACTGTAAATGTTAAGAATTTTTAGGTAAAACAGCACATTTTTTTTCTTTATAGAGACATTATGAACAACAAAGTTTTCTATCAACATCCAAACCTGATGAGAGTGCTTGGCATGCATGAGACTGTCATGGAGGTCATGGTCAATGTGCTGGGAGGAGACAAGTCCCAGGTATTTATTGTCATCATTTATTTATCATCTGCTGCAAGAATTGTCAGAAGATTTATAACATTTAATGATCTTTGATGTATTACACTGTAAACAGATGATTTCCCTGCTATGACTTAGGGGTTAGCCAAGAGCAACAGCTTAAGACCTATAAAAGCTCCCCGTGTTATGGAGCTGGTAAAATAGTGGGACACCCAGAGGAGCAAGAGTGGGGTGGGGGGAGGTCTCTGCCCTGTCCTTTTTGGGCAGTGCTGACAGAAGCTGGAAGAGAGGGCTCTGATTTAAAGGCTTAGTCAGTGCCAAACATGAATTGAACCTTAGACAGACAGACCTCAGGGAGACAGCGAGGCACTTAACATCTGACTCTAGCAGTTTGATCACGTCGCCTTGGACATAAATTCCTGAGCAGTTTACTGCCACTCGATACATGTAGTTAACTTACAGTACCCATATAACGGGATGTAAGCAAGACTTATGTGAAGTTTTTAAGTATTTGTTGTATCACAATGCACTTTAGTTATAATATTGACTTGGTTTATGAAATCATTTAACCATTTTATTTGACTTGACTTTATTTTTATACACACAAGTCCCAACAGAGATCCAAATGTGTCCTCATGATGCCTCTATTCACAGGAAATTGCCTTCCCCAAAATGGTGGCCAGCTGTTGTCGCTTCTTGTGCTACTTCTGTCGCATCAGTCGTCAGAATCAGAAAGCTATGTTTGACCATCTGAGCTACTTGTTGGAGAACAGCAGTGTTGGCCTGGGTAAGAACAATATTCACAGAAAATACACAACACTGTGTGAAAGAGAGACTAAAAATTTCAATGATCTCTTTAGCTTCTGAAGCAATGCGAGGGTCCACCCCACTGGATGTTGCAGCATCATCAGTGATGGACAATAATGGGCTGGCTTTGGCATTAGAGGAGCCTGACCTGGAGAAGGTGAACATAAAATTGGATTTAAAAGTCTTGTTGAACACTGAAAAAACTAGAAATGTTTTACCCTTAAAACAGTCTAACAAAATTGCAATAAGGAACTAAGTAGTGTCTGTGTGTAGGTGGTGACATATCTGGCAGGCTGTGGTCTTCAGAGCTGTGCCATTTTGGTTGCCAAGGGTTACCCAGACCTCGGCTGGAACCCCATTGAGGGAGAGCGCTACTTGTCTTTCCTGAGGTTTGCTGTCTTCTGTAATGGTGAGAACTTTTCTAACCTCATACCAGAAATACAAAGCTCATTTTATAAAACAATTGATTAATCCCCTAATTAATAAAACAAAATCATTCAGTCCGTGTTATACTTTGTGTGTCAGACAGACAAGACACAGATGTGGGAGTCACTTTAGTTTCCAGACACAGATGCCTTGTTATTGTTCCAGGTGAGAGCGTGGAGGAAAACGCTAACGTGGTGGTGAAGCTGCTGATCAGGCGTCCGGAGTGTTTTGGCCCTGCACTGAGGGGGGAGGGAGGCCAAGGGCTGCTGGCTGCAATGAAAGAAGCCATCAAGATCTCTGAGGATCCAGCCCTGGATCTCCCCCCGGCTGCAGCCACTGCAGGGTACGGACAGGGTCTTTTTAATTTAACATTTAAAAAAAAAAACCCAAGGCTTTAAAGCTTGATGAAGTTTAAGATGGAGGGCCATTGTGCTCCCAGCTGGTGCATTAGTATACAAAGGCTCTGATACAGTAGCTGCATTTTAATAGAGAAAGGATATTGAAGTCTGGAGTGTGGAGGGAGATTGGGAAAGTAGTCAAAATCAATATTTATAACCCTCTGCTCAGTAAAAGGACTGTGTTCAGTGCCAGCATGTGCTGTAATTCATGTAGTTGTTAAGTAAATGTATTTTTATGGTAAAAAAAAGTTAATTGTTTTGGAATCTATTCTACAGGTCTGGTGAAGAGGAGGAAGAAGTGATTCACATGGGCAACGCCATTATGTCCTTCTACTCTGCTCTCATTGACCTGCTGGGCCGCTGCGCTCCTGAGATGCATGTAAGATTTCCCACACTGTGTCTTGCACTGGTTAATTATTATTGACAGGACAGTCATTGTAGAGCAATATGTACACAAAATGTCATACTGAGCTCGGGCATAAGTCTGAATCAAACCTGTGTTGTTGTTGTTGTTGTTGTTGTTCAATTTTACAGTTAATCAATGCAGGCAAAGGAGAGGCTCTGCGAATCCGAGCAATCCTGCGCTCACTGGTCCCCACCTCAGACCTGGTTGGAGTCATTAGCATTCCTCTTAACATGCCGGTGATCAACAAAGGCACGTTTTTTCCTAAGCAGTTACGCATTTACTGAGAAACTGGCTGATTCTTGGCACATGTGTACAGAATACTTTATTTTCAGTAATTATGTATTCTCTCATCATTCAGTCCAATACAGTTTATTTGTTTTTTAATTTCCAGATGGTTCAGTGACTGAGCCTGATATGTCGGCCTGTTTCTGCCCGGACCATAAGGCTCCCATGGTGCTCTTCCTCGACAGAGTGTATGGCATTGAGGACCAGGCCTTTTTGCTCCAGATGTTGGAGGTCGGCTTTTTGCCTGACCTTAGAGCCTCAGCTTCTCTGGATACTGTGAGTTTGGTAGTTTTGTTGTTTTATATAATAGATATCACAATCACCCTAAACCAAACTGTTGGTTGGAGTAAAGTTCCCTCTTCCTGTCAGATCCTCGCGGTCGGTAATGCAGTTTAAAACTAGACTGAAAACTGTTCTCCCTGGCATTTAATACTAGCTAAACAGGATATCTTGGTGATTTACTGTAGTTTTCACGTGTATTCTGTTATCTGTTTCTTCTGTTTTTGTTGCCTTTTATATGACTTTGGTCACTTTGGTCAATTGAAGTAGTTTTAAATGTGCTATATTAATAAACTTGTATTGAACTGAACTGAATTAAAGGTTTAAATTCTAAAGACTGAGTCACTAAAAAAAAAGCTAGCTGTTTGATGCTTTGTACAGAAGGCAATTTAATTGTCGCAGTGCTCCAAGTCAGGTGAACGTGTATGCGTAGGAGCTATTCTTGTGAGACATGAACCTGAGTAAATTAAATACTAGCGGATGATTATAAAAGACATGTTGTTTGGTTGGTCTGCAGCATAATGTGGCACAGCAGGTGCACATCCAGGGGAGTTTGAGCACTGCAGTAAATTGAATATATGCTGTGCTATGTAACCTGTTGTACTTGTCCCACAGGAGGCGTTGAGCACCACAGAGACAGCCCTGGCCATGAACCGGTACATTGGTTCTGCTCTGCTGCCCCTGCTGACCCGCTGTGCTCATCTGTTTGCCAGCACCGAGCACTACGCTCAGCTCGTGGACTCCACACTCCAGACCATCTACCGCCTGTCTAAAGGCCGCTCGCTCACCAAAGCCCAGAGGGACGCTATTGAAGAGTGTCTGCTGGCTATCTGCAAGTGAGTGCTGCCAAACGTGACAGGCATAAACAGTTTCACTGATGAAGTGGGCTGCAGCCTCTCATAGAATTATAGCTGTCTGATAAATGTGTTAGCATTTATTGATCAATGGCTTGTCTCTGTCAAGGAAAACATTCATTTATCGAACTACCAAATGAATGAGAATAACCACTGCTCCTCTTTTTCATAGACATCTCCGTCCATCTATGATGCAGCAGCTTTTAAGACGACTTGTATTTGATGTTCCCATGCTCTCGGATTACTGCAAGATGCCTCTTAAAGTAAGTCTGTCTTAAATTAGGCCTACAATCTTTTAACATTATAGTAACACTTACATTTGTCTTGTCTCTTTTGTCTGCAGTTGTTAACCAACCACTATGAACAGAACTGGAAATACTACTGTCTGCCCTCTGGGATGGGAAGCTTAGGTTTAGCCTCTGAAGAGGAATTACTTCTGACAAAGAAGCTATTCTGGGGGATTTTAGAATCTCTCTCTCAGAAGGTATATCAAGAGATTGCTATGGCAATGTATTCTGTGTAATTTTGATCCATTCTAAGCATTGCATATTGTTTCCATCTGTTAATAAATTCTCAGTTCTGTAAAGGTGGGAGGAACCATAATAGTCTTGTGTGGCTGAGGCAAAGCTAAAAATAGATGAGGCTAAAAAAGATGAATCATTTATCAATTTCTGTGACAGGCTTTTGTTACATGTACAATACCTCTGCTTTTCCTCTCCTCGGTCTCTCCATCCTCATACCCCCTGTGGCATGAACTGGATGAAGAAAACCAAGTGTGTCAAACTTTGATTCTGTCTTTTGTAGAAGTATGATGCTGAGCTTTTCAAAATGGCCAAGTCGTGTCTGTGTGCCATTGCTGGAGCATTGCCTCCTGACTTTGTGGATACCACCCTTGGGGCTACATTGGAAAAGCAGGCTTCAGTGGATGCACACGGAAACTTTGACCCTAAACCAATCGTCACTGCCAAGTAAGTGTTCTGCAGTGAACCATTTTATTAAGTTACGTAGTTAAACATGTGATGTGTCTCTGTCTAACCTACATAAACTTTTAAAAGCATCTCCCTTCCTGAAAAACTTGAGTACATTGCCAACAAATATGCAGAGCATTCCCATGATAAATGGTCCTCAGAGAAGGTATGTTCTAGCCTCTGTGACATGATGTATGTTCCTGTTTCACTGCTGAACAGCTTTGTTTCTCATGTGGAACTGTTGTCTCAGGTGTCAGCAGGCTGGATACTTGGGGACAGTATTGATGATCAGGCCAAAACACATCCTCTGCTGAAGCCTTATAAATCTCTGAATGAGAAGGTACACACACAAACATTATCACAGCATCAGCCATCGATCATCACTAAACCCACCCAAGCACTAAAGCTGTATTGTGTAGGAGAGGGAAACCTATCGCTGGCCAGTGAAGGAGTCACTGAAGAGCATGCTGACGATGGGCTGGAATATTGAACGGACCAAGGAAGGAGAAGCCATGTTCCAACAACGAGAAAGTGACAAGCAGAAGAAAACAGAATCTGAGGTGTTATGATCAATTCTAGCTCTGTTAGCTGTTTGGAGTACAACAAGCCTGAGCAGTCGTGATGAATCAGCTGTCACAATGTCAGTACAAGTTGGACAAGTTGGAGATTTATTTCACATTTAATCATTGTCCTTGTAGGTTAATGAATTCAGTCCTGCTCCAGTGGACCTGCACAATGTCACTTTGTCAAGGGAGCTACAGGTCAGTCATTGTTTCTTAATTAAAACTTTCAAACTAATGGGAAATTCAAATACTTGAGTGTATTATTTATCTGCAGGGCATGGTTGAAGTAGTTGCAGAAAACTACCACAACATTTGGGCTAAGAAGAAGAAGATGGAGTTGATGAGCAAAGGTTTGTATAAATATTGAATTATTTGTGCTACATTGACATCTCTGACTATATTTCCTTTTTGTTTGAAGGAGGAGGGAGCCACCCATTGCTGGTTCCCTATGACACCCTGACTGCCAAAGAGAAGCACAGAGACAGAGAGAAAGCCCAAGAGCTCTTTAAGTTCCTGCAGATCAGCGGATACGCTGTCACAAGGTTTGCACACACCACTGAAAATGCTCGTTTATAAACTCCTGCTGCGTTTATGTTTGTTATTATTTGGTCTATATTGCTGTACTTAGGGGTATGAAAGATATGGAGCAGGACTCGTCGTCTATGGAGAAGCGCCATGCCTACAAGTTTGTTAAGACACTGCTTAAATATGTGGATTCTGCCCAAGAATTCATTGCTCATCTTGGTACGTACTGTTTCATTTTGTTTCATTTCATCCTTGTCTATCCATTTCAAATATTTATGTGATTATCTTAACTTCAGAGGCTATGGCGACTAGCGGGAAGACCGACAAATCTCCACATGACCAGGAAATCAAGTTCTTTGCGAAGGTTTGTTCATTACTGGATTCCTTTTTGGCATACAGTTTCAGCAATACAGTTTTATTTGACGGTTGTATTTTACCTTTATAGGTGTTGCTTCCACTCATAGATCAAGCTTTTAAGAACCACTTTCTTTATTTCCTGTCTACACCCAATGTGACCCTGAGCAGCTGTGGGTGTGCCTCTAATAAGGAAAAGGAGATGGTCACCAGGTAAAAATAGAACATGTATTTGTGAGGTTTATTGATACTTTGCTGTAACATTACACTGGGGGTATTCTGAACTCAAGAAAAAATACAAAATAGATTTAAACAACACATTTTCAGGAGGCTGTGATCAATGAGTTCACAGCCCTTTTTAGGTGTTTGATTTTCAACCAAAAAGGTGAGAGTGACCTGCAAACTGTAATACTATTTGAGTAGGACTTGTTTAAGCTCACTTGTTGTAATTTCAACTAAATCAGGTCTAAGACAAGAAGGACTAGGGCAAGTGTAGAATCAGGTGCTTCTCCTGGACAAGCAAATAGTATTAAAATTATTTTCATTTCGATTCTGATTTTACTTATGTTATATGTTCCATTGTATAAGAATGTAAATCTTTACTTGCCCAAATTAAATACATTAAAATAAAATAAAATAAAATACAAAATCATCCTCTCACTGTCGCAGCACAATGTTCAGTATGTTACTCAGGGCTTGAATAAAAAAAATCAGAGGCAGATTGATTACAAAAATAAAAGCCGTGTTCCTACAAACGATACATTAATATGTTTCGACCTATGAGGTTTTCATCAGGGCTTAAGCAAGGAAGAGACAGCAGGTGTTTTTATTAAGAGGTGAGAAGGTCATGTGAAGCTACAAACCTAGAACACGATACAAATTGGTATGAAAATATACGAAGTGGACAAAATACGTCAAAATATGCAAATATGCTGTGTCACTGGTGATTATTTACAAACAGATACAACAAGCGATATGATGAGAAACAATAAAAAACTGTGCATAGTATAGATTGTTATCCGTAAACCCAAAAATCAAGATTATCACTGAGCCTTGGGTATTGTTTGGCTTTTAAAGTGTCTACCCACAACATTTCTCTTTGGGCAAACATTCTCACAGGCTCACACCACCTCTTACGTTTTTTTTTTGTTTTGTTTTTTTAATGACCATTGCTTTTAAGGCATTAATGTTTGAATGGCCTGCTTGTGCAAAGTGTTATGCCAAAGGATAGTTTGGGTTTCCAGTTTTGATGGCGTATTTGTGTTCAGAAAGTCTGTCCTTGAGTCTCCTTTTTGTCATTCCCACATAGAAGCAATTACATGGATAGGACAGTTTATAAATAACAAGAGTGGTGTTACAGTTGGCAAAGTTGTGGCATTTGAAGGTCCTGGATCCGGATGGGCCTGTGAAAGTATTGGTTACGCGGATATTGAAGATGAATTTGGGTTTTGGGCCCTGTCAGGTCTTTAGGATCAGGGTTGGCTTAAAGTAAAGCTCAGGGAATGTCGCCTCACCCCCAGGGAATGTTAACATCGATTGCAAAGTATCAGTTGTTTTTCATTTTGTGTACTACTGCTTGCATGGCCTATTTCTTTTTTCTTTCGTTCAGATTCTTCAGTACCTTCTTTACTTTGTCTGTTCTAGCCTTTTCTGTAAGTTGGCAGCTCTTGTCAGACACAGGATTTCTCTCTTTGGTAAGGTTTAACTCCCATGGTGTCACTGTTTGCCCTAGTACACTGCTATAGGCCGGTGTTTGTGTTGCAGGAAGTGATTCTGCAATCATGGTGAGCTGTCTGGACATCCTTGCGCGTTCACTCGACACAAGGTAAGGCTGTTTGCAGTGGAAAACTATATGGTGTTTAAGATTTTAACTTTCACTGTTTACCCTTAGAACGGTGATGAAGTCTGGTTCAGAACTGGTCAAGGCTGGATTTCGGGCTTTCTTTGAGAATGCAGCGGAAGATCTGGAAAAGCTGCTGGAGATGTTGAAACTGGGAAAGTTCCTCCAATCACGTGCTCAAATGAAGAGCGTCAGTCAGAGCATCAACTATGTGACTGTGGCCTTACTACCAGTTCTGGTGTCCATCTTTGAGCACATCACTACTTACGGGTTTGCGGCGGATCTCCTGTGTTAGTTTTCAGATTTGTTTTTACTGCTTGGAGCTTCAAAGAGCCCTTGTGTTTCCTTATTGTAATTATGTTTTAATTGCTTTCAGTGGATGATCTACAGTTGTCCTGTTACCGAATCCTCACATGCCTGTACTCTCTCGGTACAGGAAAGAACATCTTTATGGAGAGGTGAGGGTTCATTTTCAATAAAATGTTAACAAATATTACACTAAAGCTGATCTCAAAAAACATGTTTGCTGTATTGTGTTTTTGCCCAGACATCTGCCTGCACTGGGAGAAAGCCTCGCCACCCTAGTAGGAGCTATGCCTGTAGCGTTTTTAGAGCCGCCGCTGAATGCTTACAACCCACTGTCAGTGTTCAACACCAAGACGCCCAGAGAGAGGGCCAGTATGTGTCTGCTCTGTTATGTGTATGCACCGTCAGCTGGAAGGCTTTCATTTAAAACAGCCTTGTTATTGTTTTTGTTTAGTTCTGAGTATGCCTGATACGGTGGAGGAAATGTGCCCAGAAATGCCTTGCCTTGACAAACTGCTCAAGGATGTGAACGACATCTCTGAAACTGGAGCACGCTACAGCGACATGCCACAGGTGAGGACCAAATGTCACGCTCACTGACTCTGGCTTTGATGTTCTTAGTACATCACATGAACGATTCCTCTGTAGGTCATTGAGGTGATCCTCCCCATGCTGTGCAACTACCTGTCTTATTGGTGGGAGAAAGGTCCAGAGAACTCTCCTCCGGACACTGACTGCTGCACCATGGTTACCTCTGAACACCTCAGCATCATCCTGGGAAACATCCTCCGGATACTCAATAACAACTTAGGCACTGAAGACGCTCCGTGGATGAAAAGAATTGCAGGTAGGTACTATTGACATTTCATTAGTCGATAGATTGGGTTGTTTACAGTAACATACAGTCTGTGCTCAAAACATCAGATTACTTCAAACAACCAGTTATAGGTGTATTATTGCTGAAGTTGGCAGTGTGGGTGAAATATTTGTGCTCAGGTTAGGTTTGAAAGCTCCAGTTAGAGGGTGAACTACAAGTATAATTTCTCCTTATTTTAATTAGCATGTAACAGTGAGAAATAAAGAAAAAAAAATTAATATAACTTCTTTTTACATGAAAGCTACAGTTGCTCCCTGTCTCTTGCAGTTTACTCGCAACCAATTATCTGCAAAGCTGGCGCTGACCTTCTTCGAAGTCATTTCCTACCGACCATGGACAAATTGAGGAAGAAGACAGTGAAGGTGATTATAATAAACAGATGCATGTTACATATTCTCTCCCTAATAGAACCATACAGATCTAACAGTGTTGTGTGTTTGCAGGTTGCTTCTGAAGAGGAGCTGTTAAAGGCTGATGGCAAAGGAGATAACCAGGAGGCAGAGCTGCTTATTCTGGACGAGTTTGCCGTCCTCTGCAGGGACCTCTATGCCTTCTACCCCATGCTCATACGTTATGTAGATAATAACAGGTATGCTTCACAGGGATTGACACAACATAGTATACAGTATATCATATACAAAGTATATACTGAAGTTATTACCATTCTAAACTCATATTTTAGGTCTCGATGGCTGAAGGAACCCGATGAGCACTCCACAGAGCTTTTCCGAATGGTTGCAGAGATCTTCATTCTGTGGTGCAAGTCAAATGTATGCTTTTTTGTTTCTTATTCAAGTGTCTTATACTATGTATTTGTGAAGTAAAAATACTTTTAAAAACAGAACTTCAAGCGGGAAGAACAAAACTTTGTGGTGCAGAATGAGATTAATAACTTGGGCTTCCTCACTGGAGAAGGCAAGGCAAAGATGTCAAAGGTAGGATACAATTCCTTTGTAAATCACTTTTACAGAAAGCCAATTGTCTTTAGATTAGGAGTGTGATGGCATAAACTGTTTCACATTGTTATTTTTATATATGATTGCAAATGTTATTAGTCTCTCTTATTTCCTTTGGGTAATGACTGGTCTTTTGCAGTCAGGTGGGGACCAGGAGAGAAAACACAAACGTCGTCGTGGTGAATATTACTCCATCCAGACATCACTCATCGTAGCTGCTCTGAAGAAGATGCTGCCTGTGGGCTTAAACATGTGCACTCCTGGAGACCAGGAGCTCATCTCGCTGGCCAAAATACGCTACAGTCTGGTGAGTTTGTGCATATGAGAGGAACTCGCTCTGTTTATTAATGCACACATAAACCATAGTAAAAAAGAGGATGGACTGCTGTATTATTATTATGTTTGTTTCACTGTTGCTGCCGAAAATGTATTTTCTTTCGGGATCAATAAATTATTTATCTATTTATCTATCTATTTATCTATCTATGTATTTAACATTCACTATCATATCACAGCTGTTTGTCATCTAGTTTTGTGGACCTCTGTACTGTATTTGGTTTATTTAGTAGTTAAACCATGCCCCCTGCTGGTAATTTTGTTCCCTGTGATGTCTGTTTTCTGTCATAGAAAGATACTGACGATGAGGTGAAAGACCATTTACGCCAGAATCTTCATCTCCAAGATAAGGTAAATATAGTTTTATTAATTTCATGCTAATGTAGGTTTGTGTTTTCTATTTAAACCTTTTTGTCTACACATCATTTGCAGTATTACAATAACATTCTTTTTATTCTTCTAGTCGGATGACCCAGCGGTCCAGTGGCAGCTGAACTTGTATAAAGATGTGGTTGTAAAGAGTGAAGAATCAGCCAACCCAGAGCACACAGTGGATCGTGTGCAAAGCATCTCTGCTGCTGTTTTTCACCTGGAGCAGGTACAGAGCGAAGTGCACACTCGCACATTATGGACATGGGCTTTATGAGAGGGATCTTGCTCGTGTTTTTTTTTTTTTCATCATTACTAGTTTTCAGTGTTCCAAAAATTTAGTTCTGCAGCACTCTGTTAACATGTGGCTCCTGCAACTTGGTCACTGTTCAGTTAATAGCTTTTACTCTAAGTCTAACCAGGTTTACTGAAAAACCTTTCAGGTGGAGCAGCCTTTGAGGAATAAGAAGTGCGTGTGGCACAAGTTGCTGTCCAAACAGCGCAAACGTGCTGTAGTGGCCTGTTTCCGCATGGCCCCTCTGTACAATCTGCCTAGGTGAGTTTACTTCTGATGCCTTCTGATGTCTTGGTTACAATTATCAGTAATCTACCACCTTTAAGACACTAATTTCTAACAGAAACAGAACCATATTTTTGTGGGGGACATTTGTTTTTTTGTGTGTCTATGTAAAATCTTCATCTTCTTCCCAGTAACCCTTTTTCTTCTGTGTTGTTTTTACATAACACTTCCTCATCCTCCTCAGATACAAAATTAATAATTACTTCCTGAATGGCTATCGGGTGGTTTGGCTGGAAAGGGCATTCAAAGCCTCCAGCTTCGACCGCCTGTTTTCTCTGCTCACGGTAAAGTGGAACTACTAGGCAAATGCATCATCAGCACTCTCTCCTCATCACCAGGACCAGGCTCTGCCCAGCAACCAACTCTTTCCTGACTATTGATTCTGATTGGTCAGCTTAAACATGTTACATTTTGGATAATAGACACAATATATATACTTGATTGTTTGGTTATTTGTTCTTTATACTGTGAATACTTCTCTTAACAAAAGTAACAATTCCAAATTGTAAATGACCTGTCAGAAGAGTCAGTGGCCCCTACATGAGCTGTCACCTCCTGCTTGAAATGCACTCGTGTAACCCCTCCCTCATCTCTCCTTCACCAGGACCCACCCTAATGCCACTCTGCCTCCCCATCCTCTTCATTCACTCCCCATTCCCTCATGTCCCCCTCCCCAGGCATCGTGCTATCAACTTCTTCATCCCAGCCTATCAGAGACTATGGATAGAGACAGAGGAGTACTCCTTTGAGGAAAAACTAGTGCAGGATCTGGCAGTAAGTACTGGGCTTGTCTTGCCCTCGTCCTGTGTGCCCTGCATTGGCACCCCTCTGCCAGTCCTGTCTGCTGAATGCTTCTTAAGGCCTGTGCCCGTTGAGCCGTGGGAGCGTGTTCGTGTGGGAGGCTGGGCCAAAGCACCCCGGGGCGCCCCATGTAGGCGGGCCAGACCCTTCACACACAGGTCCGTCAAGGGCCAGAGACTGCATGACCAACTCAGGAGACACAGGGCCCGCTCCAGCGCTCTCAGATGTAGGAAAGCAGGCTATGCCTTTGTGACAGTGGTAAGGAGGGTCGCTCTTTAGCTGTTTAGCTGTCAGATGTGGATCCAACCATCAGTTGTCTTTTCTCTGTAACTTTAAGTCTGTGAGTTGTAACGTACAGTACCTTCTGTATCCATAGTGACGTGGCATGTTTGCGCTCGCATTTCATGGTCGGTATTTGTGAATACGTTCAGCAAAGTAAAAAAAAACAATCCTATTTTGGCCTGGGTTTAAAAGTGAAAGTGTTTTATTCTTAAGATACATTCAAATGTTATAAATGTTCAAGAGTTTTAGCCATTATTACAGTTCATTGTGACATCTTTCATGTACAGCCATTATCACCAGTGGCCTAACAGCTTGCCTCTGATTGATTTACAATGCATGTGCACTGACGGTTGTAAGTTCATTTTCCACTATAACTATCTTGTCAAGTTGTTTCATGGGCTACTTAGAGTGTAAGATATTATCACATCTGCATGCTGTTTGAGTGTAATGATGTTTTTTTTATCAGTGGAAACATGTATGATATTGTAAATTGTCTGAAAATGCACCTTTTGTGGGATGATATTCAGTTTAAAAGTGTGTGGTATTCTACAGAAAACCCCAGTCAAGATGGGGGAAGAGGAGGAAGAGGAGGTGGCTGAAGTTCAGCCGGATCCTCTTCAGCAACTCATCCTCCATTTCAGCCACAACGCCCTGACAGAGAGAAGGTGAGCCCCTTACACCAACCATAGATCATGATATCAGACAGCACTGGATTAAGAACAAATATAATTTTTTGCAGTCACTTGGAAGAAGACCCTTTGTATATTGCATACGCAGACATGATGGCAAAGGTAGTATTCCCTTGAGCAATGATTTGTTTTCTAAATGGTTTGACCGTCACTCTAAACAGTTGTTGTTTTGCAGAGCTGTGCAGAAGATGAAGAAGAAGAAGAGGAAGAAGGCAAAGAAAAGACATTTGAGGTTTCTTATATTGTGTAACAGGCCTATAATAATGCCTTCACAGAGAGTTCACTACAAATACACTTTACCTTTAATATGAACGTTAGGAAAAAGAGATGGAAAAGCAGAAGATCCTGTATCAGCAGGCAAGGTTGCATGCCCGTGGGGCTGCAGAGATGGTGCTACAGATGATCAGTGCCAGTAAAGGTAAGACCTAGGGTGCTGTTTCCTGACTGAAGTACAGTATATTCAGTTTGTCCTTCTCGTGTTCCCTCAGGTCGATTGGGCCCTATGGTAACCTGCACCCTCAAACTGGGCATTGCCATTTTAAATGGAGGCAATGTGCATGTCCAACAGGTGGGCTCTTGTACTGTCAGACTCAGGTTATATTCAAGGACAATAATGACCATGACCCTGTACAAGGTCTATGATGTCACTGTAGTCTGATCACAAACTTATGGATTAACTTTTAAATTGCTGCCAAATTAACAATATGACATTACATGGTGTGTGTTTATTGTTATTATTTTGACTATGTGATTATATTTCACTTTCAATTGTCAGAAAATGCTTGATTATTTGAAAGAAAAGAGAGATGCTGGCTTTTTCAAGAGTCTATCAGGACTTATGCAGTCATGCAGGTAGGAAGTAGAAACATTAGAAGAAATTATATAAGACACATAACTGTGTACATGTATCATGTATAATGTCATTATGTCTTGTCAGTGTCCTGGACTTGAACGCCTTTGAGAGACAGAATAAAGCAGAAGGACTTGGGATGGTGACAGAGGAAGGTTCAAGTAAGTAAAACACAATACTTACAAAAAGTTTCTATTTAGATCCTACTGTTAGATCCAAACTAAATACAATTCAGTGACACTGTTGAGGTATGTGGGTTTTTAAAATAAGAAATAAAAAGTTCTAATGCTGAACCATGCAATAGTAAATGATAGTAGTAGATCATAGTTATACAGACACATACGTTCAGTTTGTTTTTAAGGCTCAGATTACTACACTGGAATGTAAACGTTCCATTTACAATAGCACTGACATACACCAACATTCAACCTTGTACTTATGATATTTGTATTATAACAAAACACAGCAGAAAATTACAAATTGATTTAAAAAAAACCAAATCTAGACGTATCTGTAATTTGATGTATATTATTTACCTGCAGTGTCTTACATTGTTTCTTTATCTATTGCTCCAGTTGTTATTTGAACCTTGCCTCTGACCATTTTATACACACTGTTGTTGTGTCCTTGGGCAAGACACTTCCTCTACCTTGCCTAGAGTGAATGTGGTTCATGAGTGACTGGTTTGTGGTGGTCAAAGGGGTCGCCTCACCTTCTGTCATTCTATCCCAGGGCAGCTGTGGCTTCTTTAGTACTGTATCTTACCACCATTGAGTATGGAGTAAATGTATCATAACAGTGTACCACAACAGACAGCGCAAGTGAAAGACATTATTACTGTGGAGATAATTGGTAGTAGTAATATTATGGCTTGTGTTTTTGTTGGAGAATCGTTGTACATACAGACTGGTGCTGCAGGGTGTTTTAGCTCCGAGAGGTGGTCTGTCATGCACTAACAGTAGTGTCTAATCCCAGAGTACATGGTCCAGCATTAATCCAGCTTTCCCCACTTTTCATCAAACAGTTTGTCTTCATCATACATTTCCAATAGGTCTTTAACAGTTCATTGTATGTAAAATATGTCATTATAATTTCATATTTAAGTGGCACAAATTTAGCTCACAATATTAATTTTGATCAGCATGCTTTTGAGTTGTACACCCGTAGCTGATATATTTATATCTCTGTGTATTGTAACCCAATGTCCTCTCTTTTTGCTTATGTCTTGGTGAATTCTTTGTCTCCTTCCTGTCATTTTAAAACCCATCGATGGCAGTCCACACTCAGCGGGGTAAATAGCAAACTTAGATCGTCCTGATTTGGCTCTGCTTCACCTGAATGTCTCCTTCATTTACTTGTGATCCACTCTCCCTGCTTCCTCTGGTGACCAGCCCCGGTGTTTCCTCAGTGAGCAGGAACACCCTGTGCATGCAGACTGTTAGGCATACTTTGCCTGTCCTTTGTGTGACATTGTTCTCATCACCTCATGTTAACAGTTACTAATGCAGTCCCATTACTGATCGTCCGAGGCACAGTGCCACCTCTGAGGGTTTGACTGAAGCTGTGTCCACAGCATAAGCAAAGCTTTGTCTTGCTTTAGATTTGGGGCTCATTTCAAAAAGCTGGTTTCTATACACATGGACATACTGTGCACACTCGATCATTTAGCTGTGCTGTTGTTTCTTTTTATTATGAACAGTAACCACTTTTTGTCCCCTGCTCCTGTGCTTTCTCAGGCTGAAGCGCGGCCTGCATGTCAAAGTTCTCAGGCTTCCTTCAGCTTCTGGAATTGTTCTATGGTTTTACTATTTTAAAACAAAAAATACACTTTGGATTCAGAAATCTAAAGACCACTGTTTCAAAATGACATTACATATGCTTGCCTCATGTGAAATCATTTTGAGGGTAGTCTCATATATCCTTTTCATTCAACGACTACTTAGGTTGGTCTTTCACTTTGAAATTGTATTTACAAAAGTATTCTTTGAAAGGTTCCAAAGTACTACAAAATGATGACTTTACCAAAGACTTATTCCGATTTTTGCAACTTCTGTGTGAGGGGCACAATGGAGGTAAGGCCTTGTGTGTGAGCATTTCATATTTTTGTTCAATTCCCCAAGGCTAATGTTGATCTTTATGATTATAACAGATTTCCAGAACTTCCTGAGAACACAAACTGGAAACACCACCACAGTGAACATAATCATCAGCACAGTGGACTACCTGCTGCGTCTGCAGGTCTGAAAATGGCAGCACTGGTTTCAGCATTGGCTTTTGTTCTATGTATTATATATTATTCATTCATCTGCTCTACAGGAATCTATCAGTGACTTTTACTGGTACTATTCTGGTAAAGACGTGATAGACGACATCGGAAAGCTCAACTTCTCCAAAGCTCTGGATGTGGCCAAACAGATCTTCAACTCCCTCACAGAATATATTCAGGTCAGACTCACAATAGGCTGTTTAATGGGTTCATTTATTTTACATTAGTTTCACTTTTTCCTAATTCTTTTTGTAGGGTCCATGTATTGGAAATCAGCAGAGTCTGGCGCACAGCAGGCTCTGGGATGCTGTCGTGGGCTTCTTACATGTATTTGCTAACTTGCAAATGAAGCTGTCACAGGTACAGCACACTTTACACGTTAAGTGACATTATGGATCACTAGAATGTTCAGTTCTAGTGGTATCAGAAGGTATCAATAACAAAAAGCAAGTGAAAAGCAATACACATGATGTTACTGTACATAATATTAAAACTGTTTCAAAAATATATATCTTTTTTTGTCTCCATAGGATTCCAGTCAAATTGAGCTGCTGAAGGAGCTGATGGATTTACAAAAAGACATGGTGGTGATGTTACTGTCTCTACTTGAGGGTAAGAAGACTTGACATTTCCTACATGTGCACATACTGGTAGTTTGTCTCTGACACTTACTAACTCTCCTCTCTCCCATGAAGGCAATGTGGTTAATGGAACAATTGGAAAGCAGATGGTGGACACCTTGGTGGAGTCTTCAAGCAATGTGGAGATGATCCTGAAGTTCTTTGACATGTTCCTGAAGCTGAAGGACTTGACTACGTCTGACAACTTTAAAGAGTACGACCCAGAGTGCAAGGGCCTCATTTCAAAGAAGGAGTTTCAGAAGTCTATGGAGAGCCAGAAGCAGTACACTCAGTCTGAGATTGAGTTCCTGCTCTCCTGTGCGGAGGCCGATGAGAACGATATGTTCAACTACAAAGAGTTTGTGGAGCGCTTCCATGAACCAGCCAAAGAAATCGGCTTTAACGTGGCCGTGCTGCTGACGAATCTGTCGGAGCACATGCCTCACGACTCTCGCCTGGGCAGCTTCCTGGACGTGGCTGAGAGTTTGCTGGGGTACTTTGAGCCGTATCTGGGCCGCATCGAGATCATGGGCAGTGCCAAGCGCATCGAGAGGGTTTACTTTGAGATCAGCGAGTCGAGTCGAGAACAGTGGGAGAAGCCACAGGTCAAAGAGTCCAAGCGACAATTCATCTTTGACGTGGTGAACGAGGGCGGGGAGAGCGAGAAGATGGAGATGTTTGTCAACTTCTGTGAGGACACTATATTTGAGATGCAGCTGGCGTCTCAGATATCAGAGCCCGACGAGGTGGAGCAGGTTGAAGAGGAGGAAGAGGAGGAGGGACACAGCTTCCTGGAGGATGAAGAGGAGGCAGAGTCTGTGTCAGCTTTTACTAGCGCCTGCCGCTCCGTCAAGAACAAGATCTCCAGTGTGCAGCAGATTTTCTCACTGAAAAACTTGCGCAAACAGTTCAAAAAAGTACGAAAGCTGAGCATTAAAGAGGTGATCACCGGCTTCTTCTCCTTTTTCTGGATGCTCTTCATTGGCTTCTTTAAGGGCATCTTTGGCCTCATCTTCGGATTCTTCCACCTCATCTGGTCCTCTATGTTTGGAGGCGGCCTGGTGGAGGGAGCCAAAAACATCAAGGTGACAGACATTCTCGGTAACATGCCCGACCCAACCCAGTTCGGAATCCATGGAGACGTGACAGAGGGGGAGAAAGTGGAGGCGCTGGAGTCATCGGGCAGTTTGGACGCCTCTTTGACACCCACCGGAGACGTTCCAGAGGCCGAGCTGATGATGGAGCTACTGGGAGCGCCTAAAAAAGAAGGAGGGAAACACGTGGAGCCCGGCCTGGGAGATGTGTCCGAGCAGAGCGAGGGATCAGCGGCCAGCAAGAGGAAAAGTGTATCCAAACCCGTCGAGAAAACAGAGAGTGAGCCAGAGAAAGCTGAGTGAGTGATTAGTACGCACAAACACAAAATAAATCCTTAAATTTCCCCCCAAATATCAAGAGCCTGTACCTGATTTCAAACCATGAGTCAGGAACATGTTTTAGTTCAAACTTTTAGCCTTGCTCACTGCGATATGACACAGAAACAATTGTCTATTTAAAGATTTTGATGCTATTGTAGATTTAAATTGTTTTACTGGGATTATCCTGCTTTGTTTTCAATATTATTCTTTATCACAGTATATCTCTGTCGCAATAAAATCGCTTCAAAATCTGTTACTGTGACAGGCTTATAGAATAAATTAAACCAGGTACAGGCCCTCAAGATCATGTTGAAGAAGTTTTATGTGTTGTCTGTGTTATCCAGCACCGAGAACCAAGAGAAAGAGGACAAACCAAAGGAGGAGGAGGCCCAGGAGCCAGCAGCAGAGGAGAAACCTAAAGCTAAATCCGCCGCCCCCAAAGAAGCATCTCCTGCCTTCATGTCCAGTGTGTTCGCTGTTCTGGACATCTATCTGACCAAATCTCTGGTATGCAAGTCGTCATACTGCAGTACTACCCCGCACCCATTTTCAATGTGTGTTTTATCCAGTACATATGACAGGTTAGACTACACTAAAAGTAGGTAGAGATAATTCCTTAACTGTTACCTATCATTGGAGTTTTCCGAGTTGGTGACCGCTACTAACTGTATTTCTGTACATTTCTTCAACTTAACTGATGTAAAACTATGATAAATATTAAACACAGGTACTATCCCATCAAATTAAGTTAAAATTAGAAAAACATGAACATATTTCGCATGCATTTTAAAGCAGAACTGAACATTAAATCCACTTTTTTCATTACTAAATTGTGCATATGGTGTTTTAATAGCATTAGCTACTGTTCCTAATAATGTCTGGCAATTTTAGTGGTGCAGACTAACTTTTAAACATATAAAAAGGAGTTTGAAATATGGATACTCATTAGACTAATCACAATGTTACTTATAGCCTCAGATCCTGCACCTGCTCCGCATCACTCTCCCCTTTAATCCTCCAAGTAAAGTTTAATAGCTCTAATAGAAATGTGTTTGTGGGTGAAGTTCAGGTGTTTAGTCCCACTTATAATTGCCTTTACCGTGTGTAATTTATCAGCCAGCTGCATCATACTTTCATTTCAAAATACTTACTCACAACATTTACCACTGTTGTCAGCAGATGGCGTCAGAGAGCTAGAACAAACATTCTTAGTGAACAGCATAAAGCATGTTTCCCACAAATTTACAATATTTAAAAGACTAGACTAAAAATATAAAATAGAAACTCTGTAAGTGATGGATGTTTTCTGGTTATTCTCTTCAGAATTACCTTGCTCGAAACTTCTACAACCTCCGTTTCCTGGCCTTGTTTGTGTGCTTTGCCATCAACTTCATTCTGCTCTTCTACAAGGTAACATATCAGACACAGCATAAAAGGTGTAGGTATACGCACATCACTGCTGCAAGGCTACTTCAGTGAACACAGAAAGTGACACAAAGCACGCACACTTACTCCCAAACTCCCAACACATCTGATACATTCACATTATGCTTGGGGTTAGACAGAGAAAGAATTTGTTATCCATAACTAGGTTCATCTGACTAATAAAATGTCTGGACAATAGCCTATATCTACATATACAGAGGTGGTTAGTTCTCATTTACATTTACTTGACTTTTTAAAGAAACTCTTTACAGAGTGCTTTAGCAGCATATTTTTATTAAAGCAGCAGTTCTCTAACTGAGTAAAGGTTTTGGTTACTCTTCCCACTGTGCGTAAATCTACAAATGACTTGATGGACTAGTTTGTCTCATTTTAGACTTAGACAAAATTAATTGAGCCACAAGGGAAATTATTTGGACACAATAGCTCACACATCACAAAATAATTTTATAAAAAGAGTAAAAAATATAAATAATAGTAATACATTTCAAACAAGTAGCAAAAAAGATAACAAGAGACAAGTATCAAATAAGACATCATTATATAAATGTATAGGTACAAGTCAAAATAAAATAGAAAAATAAGTAATAAACGCTGAGCTTTATATAAGAGGTCATAGCAAAAATTATGTAGGACATAGGGTTATCTGTTACATAATGTGATGATTTGTCCTTCAATTTACTTTAACTTCAAATTATAAATCAGATGTTATGTCCCTACAGTTTCTCTTTAAGTTACTCTTACTTGAGTAGCAGTTTTCCCAAATACTTTTTTACTCTAATTTGAGTAATTTCGTAAGCCGGGCGTACACTGTGTGATTTTTGGCCCTTTTTGAGCTGATTTTTTACCCCTGCCATTGTTTTGGAGATTGGGCTAAGTTTTGACTTAATTGTGTGTCGAAGTTCGTGTAGTAAACATGGAGTATGAGAACCGATTAATACCTCACGACCAGATCTCAATCGGCAGGTCACAAGAATATCATAGTTATATCATATCATCAGTTATATCAGAATATCATATAATATATAGGTCACTTGTTTAGCAGCTTGCCAGTGAGTAAAAAGTTAATGTGCCCTGTTAATGTGTAAGGTGACGGGAGAGGCTGATGAGGACGACTCGGACGAGGGCAGCTGGGGAGGTGATGAAGAGGATGAGGATGATGAGAATACACTGTTCGACATGGATGAGTTTGTACTTCAGGAGAGCACTGGATACATGTTACCTACTCTGCGCTTCTTGGCCGTCTTCCACACTGTCATATCACTGCTGTGTCTGTTTGGATACTACTGCCTCAAGGTACACAGCGCTCTCATGGCTCTGTCTGTGGGTAAAGCGTGTGCATGTGGCACTATCCAAATCTCATTTATTTACTGTAATAATGTGAAGAGCATTGTAAAAAGGATATTACACTTCGATAGTGTATTAATTGTTACCACATAACATATTTACAAAATAATGTTACCTTTTATTGGTTTGAAAATGCTATATTCGCCAAAAACAATTTTAACATTAGGGATGTAACAATATACAAATCTCTTGGGACAATATTATCATGATATACATCTCACGATACAATATTTATTGCGATATTTTGGAGAGGCTGATATAATTGTAGAAAGGATACTTTTCTGCTTTTAAAATACCTTGACAAGCTTTTGGTGTGAATTATTTCCGTCCCAAGAATTCAAGTCAAAACATATTCCTTCATGTTGTATACACTGAAATGAATCATGGGATATGTAGTTCCTGATGTTTATGAGCTGTTGCTACTATAAAACCATGTATTTAACCAAAGGAACTTATAATTTGATATATTGTGACAGTCCACGTCATTATTGTGAAACTTTTGACGATACAATATCACGATATTTCCGTTATTGTTACATCCCTAATTAACATTTTTCACTTTAGTTTTTGACACTGAGTCCCCTCTCCCTTTGCTGTGTGCTCTAAGTCACTTCCCCTACAAAGCACTATCACAACACAATCAGCGTGCAGCCCACTAACGAAACTACTTCACCGCATCAGATGTGACGAAGATTTGTGGGCGGAGTATTGGATAGAATCATGTTACTAATCGTAAATTACTCAAGCATGCATGGATGCAATTAAATATGAAATCACTACAGGTATATTTTTGATGAGAGAACGTTATAACAGTAGAAATGTGTGTACGGTCCCTCAGTCATCCAGGTAGAATCCATGGCAAAAAGAGAAATTAAATTAGTCAATTGGACTGAAGTTTATTTGGTTGAATCCCCTGCCAACAAGGTAGAAAGCTCCAAAAAGTCAAATTTGCATAATACTCCTTTTTAAAACTGTCCTGACAACCCTTTTGTGCTATATTTTTGTTAAGACAGTATCTTCTCCAGTGCTATAGCAGAACAAATTATCATGGTCTCTGTACTTATCTGCTTATTTGGCGCTCCACTGTAGCAAAACAATGCTTTAATCCCTGAAAGTTCACATTTGTGTCATAATATTGTGTAACTCTTCTCTCTCTCATCTCCCTGCCGCTCTGTGAAACTTGCAGGTGCCTTTGGTGGTGTTTAAAAGAGAGAAGGAGATTGCCCGTAAACTTGAGTTTGACGGTTTGTACATCACAGAGCAGCCCTCGGATGACGACATCAAGGGCCAATGGGATCGTCTGGTCATCAACACTCCGTAAGTTCACTGTTCCACGCAGGCTTGAGGATAGCTTTAATTCTGTCAGTCTGTGAACCTATGTTTATTATTTCACTTTAATGTGCTTGCTCTGCAGGTCTTTCCCTAATAACTACTGGGACAAGTTTGTCAAAAGAAAGGTAAGACTCCATTTTCTAACAAACATCTGTATTATTCTAAATGCTTATTTAAAGTACATATGACAGGTTAGACTTAGTGTGATTCATCATCTGGTTTCACTTTGTGGAAACTGTCTGACCTCGTGGCATTAGAATTCATTCGCTCGATGGTAGGCGGGTACTTTTTTATTTAACCAGTCAGTGCTATTTGGTCGTGACGTATGTAATGCGCCAGATCTCGTAGGAAGAAGGGCAATAATGTCTTTCCCCTTGATAAAATTCACCAAACATTCTCTTTGTTCTGGCTTTAAATCCTCAATCTTGGGAATCGTTGCGAACACAGAATGTCTGTCTTCGTCTACATCCATCTTGACCGCTTTGTTTACTGTTGTGCTGTACCACAAACGGGACCCAGACAGGTGCTTGAGTTTGACATCATAGCTTCAGAGCTCTTCGCTGATTGGCCGGTGCGCAGTCTACAACTTTTGGGGTTTTTGTGAACTGTCTAGTGTATTCAAATTTTTGACCCAGTCATGAAATTGAACGGAGGCACTAAGTGGCGCCAGCCTGACTTGGTTAGACTTTGCATTCCTCTAAAACATAATTAACATATTTAGATTTAAGATCTTATTTTTATCAAAAATCTTGCCTCGTTTTTTTCTAGTTTTGTCATTTTGATAGCTATAATTTACTACCTGGTGAGAGCCGATATGACATTCCCTTTAACAAGGAATAAAACAAGAGTAAATTACACAAATTATTATTTGACAAGTAAAAATAAAAATCACCTCTATACTTCTTGTATTTTCCAACTCTTCACCACTGTTGTAAAACTGAATTTTTACCATCCCACCAAACTAAGTCATAATTGAAATAATGAAAGTAATAAGAAGTTATAATTAAAGCCGCAAGCGGCGTCGAACGGCCCTCGCCCGCCGTGCCCACAAACGCCATGCCAGCGAACTCCGCGCCCACAAATGGTGCGCCCCGCCAATACCATGCCCTAAACGCCGTGGCCACAAACTCCATGCCCACAAATGGAGAAATTACATAGTGTGCCTTTAAATGTTCTTTCCACCCCCTGCTGGCCAAACTTGAAAAATGCCCATGTCAGTAATATGTTTCTGCTTCCAGTCATTAACAGAATTGAATTCCCAAATTTGGTACAAATCTATAATGATCTGATATAATAATCTATAATGTTAATGTTTCATGTCTATGGTAGGGGGCACTATAGTGTTCACTTTTCATTTGTTTTATAGTGTATTATGTTCAGACTGAGATCATGCATTAATGATTCAAATTTCAGTTCAATCGGACTAAGCATGTGCGTGTAATATATTATTTTATGTTTTTTGGAGGAGTCTTTGCGCCCCTGCTGGCCAACAGTGAAAAATTTCCCATGTCCATAATATACTTTTTTACTCATAATCATGCATAGAATTTAATTCCCAAATTTGGTGCAGATCCGACAATGTTGACATTTCATGTCTATGGTAGGGGGCGCTATAGTGTTCACTTTTCATATGTTTTATAGTGTATTATATTCAGACTGAGATCACACATTAGTGATTCAAATTTCAGCACGATCAGACTAAGTCTGTGCGAACAGGAGCAAATAATGTCACCTTGAAATTCGCCAAAACTTTGACCAAATTTTGCAGCTTCGCCGCACGTAAACCGTGACAGTTATAAAAAAAAATCATTTAACTTTAGATGTTACACTTCTCTAGATGATGTACGGTGATTTTCAGCCCTGTGGGTGAAGCGCCTTCAGAGGAGTTCGTTCAAACGCAACGTCAGCGAAAATGCGGACTCAAATTTCAATCCAAGATGGCCGCCTTCTGGTTTGTCAGGGGGCGTGGCCATAATAATATTTTTTGTTTGTCTTCACATGACGAATGGGTGTACCGAATTTCGTGGCTCTACGACAAAGTTGACCGAGACATCTCCCATAGGCGCCAAATTTTTGAATTTTCCAGGTGGCGCTGTGTCGCCATTTTTTTATGCCTGTGCACGAAACCTATATTTTATCGAATTTTTCGCCACTTCTGAATATTGTGCCAAGTTTGGTGAGTTTTAAAATAAAAAAAATAAAATAATAATAATTCGAGCAAAAACAATATATCCGAAAACATTAGAACAACATATTATACGTTTTTTGAAAGCTCTCGACCTTCCCCACGTCACCGTGGGGTCATTGGTGAGTGACGGGCACTGACGCGCTCGTCATTCGCCATCTCGTCGAGGTCACCCATCGCCTTCCATTGACTTCCATTCATTTTAGCAGTAGTAAATATGGCTCAGGCCTTGGGCGTGGCTTACTGGGATACTGCTGTTCGTGCCGGGGGCGACCGTGGACATAGTTGCATGTCGTCTTGTTGCGCTCGGCCATGCGCACATCGCTCCCCATTCGCTCCCCATTCGCTCCGCTTAGCGGAAGCAATAGGCCCTACGCCCTGTCGGGGCTCGGGCCTAATTAAACTCCTTGTGGTTGTGTGTAAAACTGAGCAGATAATCCAGTCATGCAGATACAGTGCAGCTAAAAATAGCCTTTTCCCTTCTGTGTGTAGGTGATTAACAAGTACGAAGACCTGTACGGGGCTGAACGCATCGCTGAGCTGCTGGGCCTGGACAAGAGCGCTCTGGACTTTGACCCGACTGTGGAGACGGTGGAGAGAGAAGCCTCCCTCATGTCCTGGTCTGTCCTTTGTCATGTACTTCTCATAATGTAAACATGTAGGAAAATATGACCACTAAATACTTCCTGGCTGCACAGATCTTTGTTTATTTAGTTTAATTTCTTATCTTAAAATAAAAAAGTAATGGTCACTTTATCTCTTCCTACCGCAGGCTGAGCTCCATTGACACCAAGTACCACATCTGGAAAATGGGTGTAGTTCTGACAGACAATGTAGGGCTCCTTCATAGTAAATCTTCATATCTTTTTTATTAAAATGTTGTATTTAAATGACACGCTCTGCTCCTCCACGCAGTCCTTCCTGTATCTCATCTGGTACACCACCATGTCAATCTTTGGACACTTCAACAACTTCTTCTTCGCTGCTCACCTGCTCGACATCGCTATGGGCTTCAAGACCCTGCGCACCATCCTGTCCTCTGTCACGCACAACGGCAAACAGGTGAGCGAGGCCATCAGCAGGGGGCGCCACGTGATTGGGACTTGGTCATGATTTAGTCTGTATGTCACAGTTTGTTTTTTTCTATACTGATATGTACTTATTTACATTTCATGTAAAAAAAGCTTGACAAAAATGAGTCCATCTAAAGGTTTACAATGTGCTAATTAGGGCAGAAGGTAACACTTTAGATCAGAGACCACATATTAATAGCTAGTTAATAGTAAAATGCATAATAAGTGCTTAATTACATCATTGTTAGTAATTATAAAGTACTTTCAATGCATTTTTGTCTAAGACCGTATTTTTTGAGTACTGACCATTAACCAAAAGTAGTGGAGATTACAATAAATGTTTTTGTGCATACACTGAAATCTTAATAAGCATTAATAAGTGTTTGATTAATACCAACTAATAACTCAGTAACAGCTAATTAGAATACCAATTACCACTTAGTTAGTTATTAATATGTGGTCCCTTAACTAAAGTGTCGCCAAAAATTTAATTGTGTTTCGGCCAAATTGCAAATCTATCATAAACACAACTAGGGAGAGTGCAAAAATATTGAAATATCAATATATCGTATCATTTAATGTGATGATACAGTATCAATATCGTGGGCTGCTGTATCGATATTTTACCAGAGGTGGGACCAAGTCGTTGTTTTGCAAGTCTCAAGTAAGTCTCAAGTCTTTGACCTCAAGTCTGAGTCAAGTCCCAAATCAAAGACAGGCAAATCCAAGTCGAGTCTTGAGTGATTGGCTCATAAGTCCAAGTCAAGTCCAAGTCGTCTGCTTTGAGCTTCAAGTCACTTCAAGTCTTTAAACCACAAAAGTACCAAATATAGCCTAGATTTTTGCAATTTATATGAATTTTAAGTTAAACTGTTTTTAAGTATTCACAGTACTGTATATGAGTATTTATTAAGAGATTATTTATTAAGAGTTGTAGAAATGCACATTTTTCCTTTTTAAATATCTTGACAAGATTTTAGTGTGAATCATTACAGTCAGAACAGAAAGAATGAATATTTAAAAGTGCTAAATAACAGTTATTTATTAAGAATCATGTTCTTTGTACTTCCCTCTGTTTTACTGCATTATACTGTGTATTACTGTAGTACATTTGAGTATCACAGTAGTCAAGTTCGACTCGAGTCCAAGTCACAACTCGCAAGACCCCACTCTGTATTTATTTTACTAAATTATTTTGTTACAGCGCTACAGTTTTGTTGCTTGTTTAGAGGAAGGAAACTCGTTTATGCAACACATTTGACATTTTCATTGTTTTGATGATTAAAATGTTTGTGTTTCATATTCACTTTGCACGAGAAGTGGTTTAACAAAGACTTTTAGTATCACAGCCATGATTTAACCATTAATTTTTATTATACCGCATCAAATCGAATTGAAATAAATTGAAAGCTCACTGTATTGAGATATGTATCGTATCTGCAACTGCTTATTGATACCCAGCCCTAAACACAACATTTATGTTTCAGTAAAAGGACGCTGTTCAAAGTTCACATTTTAAACACATCCAGAACTGACAAAAAGACTAAAAGAACTGAAATATTAAAAGAATCACATTTCAGAACAGATCTAAACTACAGGGTTAGCAGTTTTATGCAGAATAAGACAGGGGATGTTGTTGTTTGTGGAGGAAGTGACATAATTACTTCCAAAAACTGCAGCTTTTGTGATTTCAAATTGCAATTTCAAGTTGATTGTGATTAATGTTGCAGCCCTAGAGCAAACGCCAACTTCTGTGTACTGTCTTTGTGTATTTCCTTAACATCCAGTTTACTGTATGTCACATTGCCTTTGTTTTAGTTGCTGTTGTCCATACATTTAGCACTTGAATTGAGTATTTTCTGAACAATGCCCCTCATATGCCCCTGTAGCTGGTGCTGACGGTGGGGCTGCTGGCCGTGGTGGTCTATCTCTACACTGTGGTGGCCTTCAACTTCTTCAGGAAGTTCTACAACAAAAGTGACGAGGACGAGCCCGACATGAAGTGCGACGACATGATGACGGTTTGTGGCTCTCATAGTGCGAAAATCCAGACGCGCTTTATTCGAGGGACAATGAAGCTGCTTTTTTCAAGGCCAGAAGAGGCTTGGGTTTAAAAAGTTAATGTGTCCAATATTTCTTCTTTGTCAGACAGAAAACCATGGCATTTAAACTTCTAAAGAAAAGTTGTAATTGTGCTTACTCAAACTTCAGTTCAGCTTAGTCAGAGTAAGGTTTGAAGGTGCAGTTCTCTCAGACTCATAAATATCTGACTACAAGTGACGTTATTAATAGGGCCCGACCGATATGGATTTTTTTTCGGCCAATATAATACAGATAAAATGGGAGTTGGAGCTGCCGATAGCCAATATCAAAGCCAATATATTTTGTGATGTAAAAATTCACTGTAAATCTTCAGCTGATTATAAAACTTAGGTCTGGCTCTACTGGATTATAAAGTGGGTTTGGTCAGACTATATTTATTGTTGTTCTGCCTCTTTACGTCATATTTAAAGACAGTACAGTCGGTTGCTTTAATAACATTTTTGTATGACATTCTAGCCTGTAAAGAAAGTAAGTAAATCACCGCTATCAGCCTTTAACGGCAGTCATTAATTATGTGTGTAAATGTCGATCATTCACACTTCTATTCACAGCTCATTTACGTATCAATGCAGGTCCAGTAATGTGTGTTTACAGTCACAATAGTCACTTTACGCTAGGCCAACGTAAGAGAAAACAACCTGTTTGTGTGTGGGAGCTACAGCAACGAATCATTAACCAACGAGAAGAACCAAAAGTAGCTTCAAAACCGACACATTTGAATCCGTGTATCATTCGTTCATTCGTTTTTCAAAATAAAACCAAAAATAAGAAAACAAAAAAACCCAACTATTTTTCTTCCAAAACCAAAATTTAAAAAACGGATAATGATTTGTTTTTTCAGTTTTTGATTTTGTGTTTAACGAAAAATGGAAAAAAATGGATAACGGATGTTTCTTGTTTACATAACTTAAACTGCGACGCCGGACTGAACCAGGACTAAACAGGACTAAACCAGGACTGAACCAGGTCTGGGACTAGACCGGGACTGAGACCGGGACTGAGACCGGGACTGAGACCGGGATCAGACCAGAACTGAGACCAGGATTGAGACCGAGAACAGAACCAGGACTGAGACCGGGACCAGACCAGGACTGAAAATGGTTTAGTCCTGGTTTAGTCCTGATTTAGTCCTGGTTTAGTCCTGAGTCAGTCCTAGTTCTGTCCGTATGCAGCGCGAAAGTCTGGCATCGCAGTCACGGAAGTCACATAAACGATAAACGGCCATTATCTGTTTTATCCATTATTCATTTAAACACAAAATCAAAAACTGAGAAAACAAATCATTATCTGTTTTTTTCATTTTGGTTTTGGAGACAAATAATGAAGAAAATTGTTGTTTTTTCATTTTCGGTTTTATTTTGAAAAACGAATGAACGAACCATACACGGATTCATTTGCAACACTCACCGCTCACACAGGCTCCTCTCAGATCACAAGTCTGTACAAATAAGTCTGATAAAAACAGCAGTAGTTTTGTTGCGTTCAGGGGCAGTACGGCATCACAGACACAGACAAATGACTCCGCAGATAAATACTGATGCGGTGTCACATATCTGTCTGTAAATTGGATTAAATGAACATAATATAGAGTGTCTAAGCTCTATAACGAGGTATAACATGCCCACGTGGACTGTCTTTTCATTAGTAGCATTATGGTATCAAACTTTTACATTCTCTTTAGTCTCAAACAAAAACAAAACAGAACATAGTGATGAATCCTGAACCTGTATCTGTACTGTCTGGCCCACAGTGTTACCTGTTCCACATGTACGTGGGCGTGAGAGCCGGAGGGGGTATTGGAGACGAGCTGGAGGATCCCGCAGGAGACCCCTATGAACTGTACCGCATCCTCTTCGACATCACCTTCTTCTTCTTCGTCATCGTCATCCTGCTCGCCATCATTCAGGGTCTTTATCTCTGCTTACAATTTTCACTTTAGAAACTAGAAAGGAAAAGACGCAAAAGGAAGGAACCTGAAAATTTACATAAAGCCGTAATGATGTTTCCTGATTTACACAAGCTCACGGCATCATTAGTGATTTGGCCTGAGCTCATCTCCTCTGAATATTACAGGTTTATGGAAAGTCATGAAATTGTCCGTCAGTCTGAAGTAGATCTGGGCACTTTGCTGCTTGTGGGTCCAACTGGTCTTAATCTGGACCTTTTTTATAGCTAAGTAATAGATTACAATGGCCTATATTTTACAGCAATTTGTTCATGAGGACAGTTTTCTGCTGTGCTATTTACTCTGCCACTGTCAAGATGTTTTAACCTTCAACATAAATCACCTTTAGTCCTGCTTTAGTCCTGCTTTAGTCCTGCTTTAGTCCTGGTTTAGTCCTGGTTTAGTCCTGGTTTAGTCCTGGTTCAGACCTGGTTCAGACCTGGTTTAGACCTGGTTTTGTCCTGCTTTATTCTTGGTTTAGACCTGGTTTAGTTCTGGTTTTGTCCTGGTTTAGACCTGGTTTAGTTCTGGTTTTGTCCTGATTTAGACCTGGTTTAGTTCTGGTTCAGTCCTGGTTTAGTCCAGGTTTAGTCATGGTTTAGACCTGCTTTAGACCTGGTATAGACCTGGTTTAGACCTGGTATAGACCTGGTTTAGACCTGTCTTAGTCTTGGTTTAGTCCTGGTATAGACCTGGTTTAGTTCTGGTTTAGTTCTGTTTCAGTTCTGGTTTAGTCCTGGTTTTGTCCTGGTTAAGACCTGGTATAGACCTGGGATAGACCTGGTTTATTTCGGTTATAGTTCTTGTTTAGTCCTGGTTTAGTCCAGGTTTAGACCTGGTTTAGTCCTGGTTCAGTTCTGGTTTAGACCTTAATCGAGCCCCTTTTTATAGCGAAGTAATAGATTATAATAGTTTATATTTTACCGAAATTTCTGCTGTGCTTTTTACTCTTCAACATAAATCACAGACAGAAATCAAAATGTTCAGATGAGCAACAGAGATGTGTATCCACAGTATGGAAATTTAGTTTAGTGATTCCCCAAAGCTCCTCTACACGCTCCTGTTCTGACCCGAATAATCACAGATGTGTTTTGTGTCTGTTTCAGGTTTGATCATTGACGCCTTTGGTGAGCTGAGAGACCAGCAGGAGCAGGTGAAGGAGGACATGGAGGTACGTTCACTTCAAACTACTTTTTTAAACAAAACAAACAAAAAAAAACATATAAAATGACAAGTGATTTTTTCCTACAGACCAAATGCTTCATCTGTGGCATTGGAAACGACTACTTTGATCGAACGCCTCACGGTTTTGAAACTCACACTTTACAAGAGCACAACCTCGCCAACTACCTGTGAGTGAGAGTCAAATATTTCAACTATGAGTTTAGTGTGAACATGTGCTGCAGCTGCTTTTGCTCCTCTGCAGGTTCTTCCTGATGTACCTGATCAACAAAGACGAGACTGAGCACACGGGACAGGTGAGACTGACTTTAACTCTGACTTTAACTTTGACTTAGATTCAAACACAGATGAACTTTACATCTGTAGTAAAAACTGTGGTACAAGACTTTTCTGCACACCTACAACACAATGTTTATAAAAGTCAGAGTTGGGAGTAACGTGTTGTAAAAGTAATGAGTTACTGTAATGCTTTGGTTTTTGGTGTAACACAGTAAGGGGCGCTCCTAGATTCCAAGTCCTAGTCCAAAATTAGTCCTGATTTAGACCTGGTTTAGACCTGGTTCAGCTCTGGTTAGTCCTGGTTCATTTCTGGTTTAGTACTGTTTAGTCCTGGTTTAGACCTGGTTTAGTCCTGGTTCAGCTCTGGTTTAGTATTGGTTTAGTCCTAGTTTAGTACTGGTTCAGCTCTGGTTTAGTCCTTGTTTAGTCCTTGTTCAGTCCTGGTTCATATGTGGTTTAGGTCTAGTTTAGACCTGGTTTAGCCCTGGTTTAGCCCTGGTTTAGCCCTAGTTCAGTCTTGGTTCAGCTCTGGTTTACTCCTGGTTTAGTCCTGTTTTAGTTCTGGTGTAGACGTGGTTTAGTCCTGTTTTAGTTCTGGTGTAGACGTGGTTTAGTCCTGTTTTAGTTCTGGTGTAGACGTGGTTTAGTCCTGTTTTAGTTCTAGTTTATTTCTGGTTTAGTCCTGGTTTAGTCCTGGTGTAGACCTGGTGTAGACCTTGTTTAATTAATGGTCACGTCGACATAGCGAGATGAAAAACATTTATTGTAAAGTTGGCACAAACATTTCGCGTGTGAAGTGTTAACAGAAGCACAAAGTCTGAAAACTATAATGTGTTGCTTTGTGCTTTACTTATGCAACGCGATCAAGTGGGTAGAAACATTGCACAAGTGGTTCTTTGCAGAAGGAAGGACCAAAGCGTGGGCTGTCTTGGACATTTATTTATCTGCGTCTTGTCGTCCATGTAAAAGACACAAATTTAGCTTTGTCGGGAGAAAAAAAAGCCCGTTATTGGCCGTAGAGAAAGCCGTCAGATCTGAGTTAGTAGTGAGGCTTGAGGAAGTGTCATTAATTTGCGACAGAGATGACAGAGTTGGTGTCCTTCTGGGTGCAAAAGTTTGAGACCATCTGGGCTGCAGTCTGTCAGTGGGCAGTTGGAGCCGGTTCAACGTGAAGAAAGAAAGTATAGAACACAGCGGCGACATGCCCAGAGTCGGCCCAGAACTCACTCACCAACTCACACGGACTATGGCCTGGGGTGAAATGGAACTAATTACGGAGTAGGTTTGTTGGGTAATTGTACTTTTTTTTGTAGTACTGGTTTAGACCTAGCTTAGACCTGGTTTAGACCTGGTTCAGTCCGGGTTTAGCACTGGTTTAGTCCTAGTTTAGACCTGGTTCAGTTCTGGTTTAGTCCTAGTTTAGACCTGGTTTAGTCTTGGTTTAGTCCTGGTTTAGTCCTGGTTTAGACCTGGTTCAGCTCTAGTTTAGACCTGGTTCAGCTCTAGTTTAGTCCTGGTTTAGACCTGGTTCAGCTCTAGTTTAGTCCTGGTTTAGACCTGGTTCAGTCCGGGTTTAGCACTGGTTTAGTCCTAGTTTAGACCTGGTTCAGCTCTGGTTCAGTTCTGGTTTAATCCTTGTTTAGACCTGGTTTAGTCTTGGTTTAGTCCTGGTTTAGTCCTGGTTTAGACCTGGTTCAGCTCTAGTTTAGTCCTGGTTTAGACCTGGTTCAGTCCTGGTTCAGCTCTGGTTCAGTTCTGGTTTAATCCTTGTTTAGACCTGGTTTAGACCTGATTTAGTCCTGGTTCATTCCTGGTTCAGCTTGAGTTTAGTCCTAGTTTAGTCCTGGTTTAGACCTGGTTCAGTCCTCCTGGTTCAGTTCTGGTTTAGACCTGGTTAAGTCTTGATTTAGTCCTGGTTCAGCTCTGGTTTAGTCCTAGTTTCGTGCTGGTTCAGTCCTAGTTCTGTCCTGGTTCGGCTCTGGTTTAGTCCTGGTTCAGTCCTCCTGGTTCAGTTCTGGTTTAGACCTGGTTTAGTCCTGGTACAGCTCTGGTTTAGTCCTGGCTCAGTCCTAGTTCAGTTCTGATGGTTGAGTTCTGGGTTAGTCCTGGTGTAGTGTTGGTTCAATTCTGGTTTAGTCCTAATTTAGTCCTTCTTCAGCTCTGGTTTAGTCCTGGTTCAGACCTGGTTTAGACCCATTTTAGACTTGGTTTAGTCCTGGTTCAGTCCATATAATAAGTAACAACAGTGATAATAGTGTACGAAAGCTATAAAACGTCATAATAAATCTCACCAGAAGCCGTTTTTCTCCTCAATAAAGCAACAATATGTGAGATTATATTTGTAGAGAATATTTTTGACACGCTGCGTATGTATGATTGATTATGGTCCAAGAGTACTCCAAAAACCCTCACGGAAAACCTGTTATTATCATTGGAAAATCCCATTACAGGGTCTATCTTAAGGCGCCTCCTCTGAAAACCCGCTCGTGTAAAATATCATCAAAGTGTACTCCTGAAAATCCCCAGGTCCCTCGCACAATCTCGCGTTTACCCCGGGCGCTGACACTGATCCGTTTTGTCCCCGCGCAGGAGTCCTACGTGTGGAAGATGTACCAGGAGAGGTGCTGGGACTTCTTCCCGGCCGGAGACTGCTTCAGGAAACAATACGAGGACCAGCTGGGCTAAAGCGGACTCCAAACCCTTTGGACCAGAGACGACGTCGCAGCGTTTACGAACCCGATGAACTCCAAAAAAAACAAAAAAACAACCCGGACTGACGACAACTTTTGACTTTATCGCCGACGGCTGGACGGACAGTGGGAGGAGGGGAGAGGGGTCGCTCATCTTTGCCCGCCATCGTGAAAAACAAAAAAAAAGTCTCCACACCTCCACGCCTCTTTATGCAACTTCTTTGTTTGATCGTGACTTTTGCCTTTTCACCTGCTAACCCCCAAAACCTGTCGCACAATTTGATGTTCGTAGACGATTGTCACACTAGAGGGTTGCGGCATGACAACTGAATGTTTAGGGCTGCACAATATTAGAAAAAAAAAAAAATGCCGTCTTCAGTAAACGTTTTTTATCGCGTACTTTTTTGACAAACTGAAATCGAAAGCGGGCTTGGAATTATGTCGAAACAAACCAAAAGAAGGACTTAACTAGACCTTTTTTACGTTTAACTTTCAAAAAAAAAAAAAAAAAACACGCCATTTTCTGTCAGGCTGAGCGTTTTTTTCCTTCGATATCGATATTGTCGCGACATATTGTGCAGCCCTGGTTTCAATATGCACAATTTCGACTCGGAACTCGACAGACGCGCGCTGCTAGTCTCGAAACACTCGCCGTGAAAACTTAGAGACCTGGTTTTTGCCTTTTTTTTGAGATGGTTCAAATCCGCTGAATTACCGAGTGAGTGAGTGAAGTCCTTTCTGGTCTTGGCGTGTTCGCTGTGTTCCCAAGACCAAAGACGACTGTGAAAATGTCAAAGAGCCACCGTGCCTTACCAGAAACTATGCAAAGAACATTTTCGTCCCTCCTGACACAAGCTGCGCTACACTTCTGATTCGCTTCACGCAACGATTTGAGCTTGAGCTAGTTTTGGTGGCTTTCCAATCGCGAATAGAAATCATTTGTTGTATAAAATCTAGAGAAATTTTTGCGTAATTGTTGCTTTTTTTTTTTTTTTTCCCCAAAATCCTTTTCTGCTGTATCCGCTCGTGTCCGCAGCACAACCACCCCCCCGTGCGCCGTATTCAAATCGAAACGTTTACCGAATAAAACCGCGATCGTTACGGCTCTTTGTATGTACCTAGTAGCTTTGGTAAAGAACGCATTTATTTTGATCAGAGGGAGGAAATGAATAAAGTAACTGACGCAATAAAGATGCTGTGTTGGCATGTTTTAGTCTGGTTTGTGAAACATCATTCAACAAGGAACACACAATTCAAACATCAAATCTCAAAAACACCGGGAACATTTTGACACTTTGAGAAAATGTCCTGAATCCGTGTGTGTGTCATTCGTTCATTTGTTTTTCAAAATAACAAAAAACACAACGATTTTCTCCAAAACCAAAATTTAAAAATGGATAACAATTCGGTTTTTCAATTTTCGGTTTTGTGTTTAAATGAATAATGGAAAAAAACGTCCTTTTCCCGTTTCCCTGACTTAAACTGAGATGCTGGACTTTTGCACCACATACGGACTGAATCAGGACTGAAACAGGACTAAACCAGGACTAAACCGTTTTCAGTCCTGGTCTGGTCCCGGTCTGAGTCCCAGTCTCAGTCCTGGTCTCAGTCCCAGTCTGGTCCCGGTCTGTCTTGGTCTCAGTCCTGGTCCTGTTCCCGGTCTCAATCCTGGTCTGGTCCTGGTCTCAGTTCTGGTCTAGTCCCGGTCTCAGATCCTGGTCTTAGTCCTGGTCTGGTCCCACTCTCAGTCCCGGTCTCAGTCCCAGTCCTGTTCCTGATCTTAGTCCTGGTCTCAGTTCTGGTCTCAGTCGCGGTCTGGTCCCAGACTCAGTCCTGGTCTCAGTCCCAGTCTGGTCCTGGTCTCAGTCCTGGTCTCAGTTTTGGTCCCAGTCTCAGTCCCGGTCTCAGTCCTGGTCCTTGTTCCTGGTCTCAGTTCTGGTCTCGGTCCCAGCCTCAGTCCTGGTCTCAGTCCCTGTCTGGTCCCGGTCTCAGTTCTGGTGTGGTCCCAGTCCTAGTCCCGGTCTGGTCCCAGTCTAAATCCTAGTCTCAGTCCCGGTCTGACTCCGGTCTGGTCCTGGACCTGGTTTAGTCCTGGTTCAGTCTGACATCGCAGTTTAAATCACAGAAACGTCTCAAATCACGTCCGTTATCCGTTTTTTCCATTCTTCTTTTAAACACAAAATCGAAAACTGAAAAAACGAATCATTATCTGTTTTTTATTTTGGCTTTGGAGACAAATAATGAAAAAAACAGTTTTATTAGTTTATTAGTTTTAATAGTTTAGTCTTATTTTTGGTCTTATAATGAAAAACGAATGACACAAAGATTGTTCTGTCCTTGTCGATCCGTCGGAACATCTCAGATCTTCCCGTCTCTTTCTCCTCCGACCGCGGCGCTGCTTTTGTTCGCTCTGTCCTTGTGGCGCTTCCGTGCTCAGGGTCAGGAGATCATGCTGTCCAGCCAGTCCTCCAGGTCCTCCTCCGTCAGCTCCTTCTTCGCAGACGCCGCGCTGACGTGTTTGTCTGACACTTCCTCCGCCATCTTGTCTTTGTCTCCTGCCGCCTCCGGTGCATCCCTCCTCACTTCCTCCGACGCTGCAAACACAAAGAACTACTGACTTAACAACCTCTTCAGTTCACAGATCAGCTTTTAAACTTTATGTTTCCACCTTTGGAATATTCAAAACAGACAGGAAGTGTAACTTTCATTTGAATTTTCTCATTCTTAGTGTTAAAGGGCCCATTTTACGCTATTTTATTACCTGGTATGTTGTTTCCTCATGAAAAACCTGGAGTTGTGTTTTGTTTCATTCACATGTTTAACTCACAGCTTCTCTCAGACACCCTGGTTCCACCTTATGATGTCATGTGTTAATACAGGAAGTGCTCCTCTGTGTTTTTAAACTCCTAAACACCTTCACTAGAATCATCGTTTTTGAGGACATTCGAACATGTTTTAAAGCTCACAAGAGGAAATTTTGCGTAATATAGGACATTTAAAGGTAAGGACTTGCACCTGCTTGCCTGTTATTGCTTTTCCAGGAATGTTCCACAGTAGGGCATATTTCTTAAGCCAGACTGCCTCCGCTCAGTTTCATTTCTCTCCAGCGACTAGGTCAGGAATCGGAATACACTAGACGGTTTGCAAGAACCCCACAAGTTGTAGATCGCATACCGGCCAATCAGTGAAGAGCTGTGAAGCCATGACGTCAAACTCAAGCTCCTGTCTGGGTCCTTTTTGTGGTACAACACAACAGTAAACAAAGCGGTCGAGATGGATGTAGAGGAAGACAGACATTCTGTGTTGGCAACAATTCCCAAGATCGAGGATTTAAAGCACGAGCAAAGAAAATGTTTGGTAAAATTTCCTACAGGATTTGGCGCATTACGTCATGACCAAATAGCAGTGATTGGTTAAATAAAAAAAAAAGTACCTGCCTACCATCGAGCGAACGAATCCTAATGCTGCGAGGTCACACGGTTTCCACGAAGTGAAACTGGCTGATAAATAAGGCTAAATATTTTTTAGGGTGACCAGATTTTCAAAATAAAAAAACTAGTACACCCTCAGTTGGTTGTGTTTGGCAATAATGAAATTGTGAATTAAGTGCGTAATTAAGGAAAATTAATTTATGACATACCCATTCATGACGTTCATGTGAGTCAGTATATTTGTTTATTTTCTTTGTGTTTTGGTCATTTTTTAAGCAGCTTTTCTGTATTTTACCTCTACAAATCATAATTTATGCCTCTCTTTACTGTTGGCAGGGATCGGATTGGTCAAAAATAAGGACAGCTGAGACATTTTTTATATAAAAGTGGGATAAATCACTGTTTTTTGTATAAATCTACTGGGACAGGGAGACTCAAAACTGGGACTGTCCTGGGTAAATAGAGACGTCTGGTCATCCTTAATATTACTCCATTTTTATTGCTCTATGGAAAGAAGAAAGCGACGCAAACAAGCTAAGTTACCAGTCAGATCTATGGAGGGGTGACCGCTGCTCACAGTAAGAATCTGTTCCCTCCAAGTTATTTTAGAGCAATAAAAACATCTATAAGTGAATAAATGCAAAATAGAAATGTTGGATGCAGTACCTTATCATATTTTAAGCAACTCAACATCTCCATGGAGACAAGCAGGCGGCATAACTCTGACCAGAAAAGTTACAAAGCCTAAATATAAACAGAATAATAATATATAAACATTTTAGGGCACGTTTCCAAGCTCACCTTTGTCTGTTGTAGGCGTCTCTTGTCCTAAATCCATCTGGTTCTCTTGAGTATCCTCCGGTTTGTGTAAAGACAGCAGCTCCTCCAGATCTTCGTCCACGCCCTCCGCTGGTGACGGGACAGGGGGCATCGGCGCTTTAGGAGGGGCAGGGGCAGGGGTGGTGACAGTGGGCAGGGCGGCGGGGGCTCTGGGTACAGCTGACGGAGGCTTGGACACATCCGGTTTGGGAGGAAAATGAGACGGGAGCTCGATCGGAGTGGAGATCTGCAGCGGAGAGAGCAGATTAAAGCGATTCCATCAATGTAAACACACATCTTCAGATCGAACATTTTTACATAAACATACTAAATAAATTCAGACAGTGCACATGACAGCTTTTCATGTTTTTCTAATTGTGATTTGGTTTGGTTTGCTACATATTTATCAAAGTTTTACATCAGCAAAGTGACGGAAAAGCACAAAATACAGAAAGCAGTGCTGAGTTCTAAAACAAAATACTTCTACTTACAGTACCTGTGTCATCAAAACAGAAAATTAAATCCAAATCGGAGATACATTTTACAAAATAAATGTTAAATATATGTTTCTATTTTTTATTAGTTACTGTGGTTTCATGGAATTACTTGTACGGATCACGTCTAACTAGGAAGTACAAATTTTGACTACAACAAAAATCTAAAAATGTAATAATAATGATGTTAACTGTGATTTAGTGAAATAAGTCAAGTCATTGTGAAGAAAATGTTTTACCAACCAATAACTATTTTGTGATATGATAAAACGGGCCCTTTTATTTTACATAATTAAGGTTTAAAGTTTGATCACCGTGTGCAAACTGCATCAAACCCGCTGTGTCTAATCCAGAGAAATATGTTGTAAAACTGGAGAGGTTATACAACTATAAATGGAAAAACTTAAAGTAGCTTATTTTGATGGGGTAGCGTGAATCGATAGACGGAACTGGTGATTTAGGCTGCTGGAAGCTCATTTTGACGGGGCCAGCCCATTTCGACAGAACACCGGAAATGCTTTGTTGTTCATAAAGGATTTTTAACAATGTGAAGAAGTGCTGTGTGTGTCCTGTTGTGTGTGTGTGTCCTGTTGTGTGTGTGTGTGTGTGTGTGTGTGTCCTGTGTGTGTGTGTGTGTGTGTGTGTGTCCTGTTGTGTGTGTGTGTGTGCCTGTGTGTGTGTGTGTGTGTGTGTGCCCTGTTGTGTGTGTGTGTGTGTGTGTGTGCGCCCTGTTGTGTGTGTGTGCGCCCCTGTTGTGTGTGTGTGTGTGCCTGTTGTGTGTGTGTGTGTGTGTGTGTGTGTGTGTGCCTGTTGTGTGTGTGTGTGTGTGTGTGTGTGCCTGTTGTGTGTGTGTGTGTGTGCCCTGTCTGTTGTGTGTGTGTGTGTGCCCTGTTGTGTGTGTGTGTGCGCGCCCTGTTGTGTGTGTGTGTGTGTGCCTGTTGTGTGTGTGTGTGTGTGTGTGTGTGTGTGTGTGTGTGTGTGTCCCTGTGTGTGTGTGTGTGTGTGTGTGTGCCCTGTTGTGTGTGTGTGTGTCCTGTTGTGTGTGTGTGTGTGTCCTGTTGTGTGTGTGTGTGCGCCCTGTTGTGTGTGTGTGTGTCCTGTTGTGTGTATGTGTGTGTGTGCCCTGTTGTGTGTGTGTGTGTGTGTGTGTGTGTGCGCCCTGTTGTGTGTGTGTGTGTGTGTGCCCTGTTGTGTGTGTGTGTGTGCGCCCTGTTGTGTGTGTGTGTGTGTGTGCCTGTTGTGTGTGTGTGTGTGCCCTGTTGTGTGTGTGTGTGCGCCCTGTTGTGTGTGTGTGTGTGTGTGTGTGTGTCCCTGTTGTGTGTGTGTGTGTGTGCCTGTTGTGTGTGTGTGTGTGTATCCTGTTGTGTGTGTGTGTGTGTGTGTGTGTGTGTGTGTGTGTGTGCCTGTTGTGTGTGTGTGTGTGTGTGTGTGTGTTGTGTGCCCTGTTGTGTGTGTGTCCTGTTGTGTGTGTGTGTGTGTGTGTGTGTAGGTGTGTGTGTGTGTGTGTGTGTGTGTGTGTGTGTGTGTGTAGTGTGTGTGTGTGTGTGTGTGTGTGTGTGTGTGTGTGTAGGTGTGTGTGCGTGCGTGTGTGTGTAGGTGTGTGTGTGTGTGTGTGTGTGTGTGTGTGTGTGTGTGTGTGTGTGTGTGTGTGTGTGTGTGTGTGTGTGTGTGTGTGTGTGTGTGTGTGTGTGTGTGTGTGTGTAGGTGTGTGTGTGTGTGTGTGTGTGTGTTGTGTGTGTGTGTGTGTGTGTGTGTGTGTGTGTGTGTGTGTGTGTTGTGTGTGTGTGTGTGTGTGTGTAGGTGTGTGTGTGTGTGTGTGTGTGTGTGTGTGTGTGTGTGTGTGTGTGTGTGGTGTGTGTGTGTGTGTGTGTGTGTGTAGTGTGTGTGTGTGTGTGTCCTGTCCTGGGTGTGAGTTTTGTACCTGGACGAGTTCGGCCTCCAGCTGCAGTCGGTCGTGCAGCGGCACTTGGACCAAGCGCTGAGCCAAAGCCGACAGGTCCACCAACGCACCCACCTGCACCAGAGACAGGTGAACGACAGGTGAACGACAGGTGAGACAGGTGAAGGACTGGTCAACAGGTGAACAAGTGAATGACAGGTGAGACAGGGGAAGGAGTGGTCGACAGGTGAACAAGTGAACGACAGGTGAGACAGGTGAAGGAGTGGCCGACAGGTGAACAAGTGAACGACAGGTGAGACAGGGGAAGGAGTGGTCGACAGGTGAACAAGTGAACGACAGGTGAGACAGGGGAAGGAGTGGTCAACAGGTGAACAAGTGAACGACAGGTGAGACAGGGGAAGGAGTGGACGACAGGTGAACAAGTGAAAGACAGGTGAGACAGGTGAAGGAGTGGACGACAGGTCAGACAACGACAAGTGAGCGACAGGAAAAGAAGTGAGTGAATAAGTGAGCAAAAAGTGAACAAGTGAGTGACAGATGAGTGAAAAAGTGAGTGAATAAATGAGTGAACAAGTGAGTAACAGGTGAATAAGTGAGTAACAGGTGAATAAGTGAGCAACAAGTGAGTGAACAAGTGAGCAACAAGTGAGTGAACAAGTGAGCGAAAGGTGAAGAAGTGAATGAACAAACAACAGGTGAACAAATGAGCAACAAGTGGACAAGTGAGTGAACAAGTGTATGAAGGGTGAACAAGTGAGAAACAGGTAAACAAGTGAGTGAATAAATTAGCGAAAGGTCAACAAGTGAGCAACAAGTGAACAAGTGAAGTGAGCAACAGGCGAACAAGTGAGTGAACAAGTGTGTGAAAGATGAACAAGTGAGCAACAAGTGAAGTGAACAAGTGACTGAACAAATGAGCAACAGGTGAACAAGTGCGTGAATAAGTAAACGAAAGGTGAACAAGTGATCAACACGTGAACAAGTGAGCGAAAGGTGAACAATTAAATGGCAGGTGAACAAGCGAGCAACAAGTGAATGAACGAGTGAAAAAACATGAGCACAAATCAGGGCTACACCACCACAGTCACTTAAATATCAGTTAATAATGAGTTAATAATAATAAAAGTCTAATGCTTGAAGCTAAATATTCTGTGTGATAATAATGCAGTAATGCACTTCTGTCTTTTTTGCACTGAAGAACGGTACATCTTTTTTGTAAAGATTTAGTTAATATTTTGGCAGTTGTCGTAGCTCAGTATTAGATTTAATTTGATGTACAGCTAGACCAAATGAATGAGCAATAAGATTAAAATGAAGGAGCACTATAAAACCTGCTCATTTATATAGAAACTTACATTTAACTACTGCCTGAAATGTTCTCCAGAATGGCATTAAAAGAATCTATCACCACGGAGACAAGCAGGTTACAGCAACAGGCTAAGTTACAGGTCAGATCTGTGGGGATGCAACCCCGCTTAGAGCAAGAATATATGTTTTTCAATGTTTTATTTTAATTTTAGCTTCTTTAACACCACTGAATACATGTAAGACAAGTTTACTGCCCACTGTGGAGCGAGAAAAGTTACATAATGTGTCTATAAATGAACTGATGAATGACTGAACATGACTTTTTCTTTCCAATAATCCAACTCCACTCTAACTCGGCTCTGAAATACCAAACTCGCGATGGTCCACTGCTTGACTGCCATCCTCACATTTCTAATAAGACCTCGCGTAGTGATTTTTCTGTCTTGTCTGTCTGGCTCTAATCTATAGTGACAGAGAGGAAAAGTCCACTGGCACCCTGACACAGTCCAGCGCCGTGGGCCCTGTGCTAAAGATTTACCTGACCGGCCACAAATGAGTCCATGTCCCAGTCCTTCTCTTCAGAAAATCGAAACTGTGTGAAGGAATCCCCTGAGAAACACACACACAAAAACACAACTCATTAAAGGAGACATTTTCTGCTTCAACATGATTATATTTAAGATATTACTAATATTTGTCTAGTTTTCTCGATTCATAGTGATAGTTTCAGTTCTGTTACTTCACTGTAAACAAAGGCAAAGTTTGTCTAAGTGATTATTTGTCAAATTTAAATGCATGACTACATCTTTATTTAGGTAAATAAAGGTGTTTTTACACAGAGGGATTCTGTTACTTCCTGTATTTTTTGTACGTTTCATCTTCGTTTTTTCCCACAAACTCCCACTTGTAAAACTGGTGTCAACTGGTGTTTTTTGCTTCCCTTTTTCCACTATTATTTCCTGTTTTATCTTGGGCCATCGCAAGTTGATAGGGATCACCCCCAACTCAGCCCCGTTTGGTCTCAGGGCCCAAAAAACTAGCCTGATTCATCAGACGTTTTCACTTCTTGGAAACCGTCTGACCTCACAGCATTAGAATTCATTCGCTTGACAGTAGGCGGGTATTTTTTGTATTTAACAAATCACTGTTATTTGGTCGTGACATATGTAATGCTCCAAATCCCTTAGGAAGAAGGACAATAATGTCTTTCCCCTTGATACAATTCATCCAAACATTCTCTTTGTTCCAGCTTTAAATCCTCGATCTCGGGAATCGTTGCCAACACAGAATGTCTGTCTTCGTCTACATCCATCTCGACACTTTGTTTACTGCTGTGCTGTACCACAAAACCAAACCGTCTAGTGTATTCTGATTCCTGACCTAGTCGCTGGGGAGAAATGAAATTGAGCAGAGGCACTAGGTGGCACCAGCCTGGATCTCAAAAAACACCCTATTTAGGAAAAGCTGCTGGGGAAATTATGCAACTATAAATATTAAGGTACTGCAACTGCATAAATGTTCAAATAACCCTAAAATTTTGCATGGTGTATCCTGATACATGGGGAAACTAGCAGGGGCTTGCTGCCTTTCTACTGTCAAATATCACACTCAACATACCTCAAAATAAAAAACAATATCAGTCTGTCTAACAAATTGTCATCAAAAGCATTTTATTACAAATATCACTGCCTCAAATGTACATGGAAAAACTCCCCAAGTTTATTAGCCAGGCTGGCGCCATCTAGTGCCGCCACTCGATTTCATTTCTCTCCAGCAACTAGGTCAGGAATCAGAATACACTAGATGGTTTGTAAGAACCCCGGAAGTGCAAGTTCAGGCACCAGCCAATCAGCGAAGATAGATATATTCGGTGTTGTCAATGATTCCCGAGATCAAGGATTTAAAGCTGGAACAAAGAGAATGTTTGGTGAATTTTATCAAGGGGAAAGAGGTTATTGCCCTTCTTCCTACAGATTTGGGAAAAGCTTAATATGCCAGTTAGTCCAGTTAGCGGCGCATTACATACGTCATGACCAAATAGCAGCGATTGGTTAAATTTAAAGAAGTACCCGCCTACCGTCAAGTGAACGAAATCTAAGGCTGCGAGGTCAAACGGTTTGTAAGAAGCGAAACGAAGTAAAACCGGCTGAAGAATCAGACTACAAGTTTATAAGTTTAAATTTAAGTCCAAGATGACCTTTCTATCTAGACATTAACAGCTGGTATGACCAAAATTCTTCACAAATCGACAGAAAACAAGCAAACACATTAAGCAAAAAATATGCTTAATTCCATATGAAATGATAACACATGAAAGTTCGGTTTTCTGATATAAGCTATAACTAACAATTGAGTAAAAAAAGATCTACTGGTTTGGAAGATTACAGCCATAGGAGCAACACTTCCAAGGAAACGTCTGCTTTAATACTTGCAAAACATGTAATAGAAATAACAGTAATTGAAACTACTTGGTAAAACATCCCCATGGTAAACAGATCGACCACAAAATCATTAGAAAGCTATTTAGACAAGAACATTGGCTTTTTCGAACCACGTTTAGACTGCCAATATCAGCTGTCCCATCACCGGGGGTCCTTATTACTGCCCCTACCCCACACTGTGCTCACACCAAACTGCGCACGCTGCATTTGGCGTGGATTATGTTTGGGTATGACGACAGGAGAGGGTCAAAAAGGTGTGAGCGCAGGGGGGGTCTGACTGCCACATGTTTCAGACTGGATTATTGTGGAAAGCCAGCGAGCCGTCAGCTTTAGGTGACAGAGTATTCACAGGACCTTATCGAGATCAGGATGGAGGAGGTGGAGGGCAAATCTCACACTGATTCAAAGACGGAGCTCAGAATAAACACAGGGAGGACTGAGAGAGAAGAGAAGGCAGCTGGACACGTACCAGAGATGGTACAAAAAGAACGTTGTGAGTTGATACCAATATTTGAGCTTTGTAATACCTATTTTCTGATCTACTCTATGTTATGATAATGTTTTCCTCATCAAAAACATACCGGGAGTGTTTTGCTTAATTTACACATTGAGCACACAAATCATATTTAGACTGTGTTCTCTCTCAAACATAAAACACTCTGTTCCACTTTTAGCGTTTTCAGGCAGACAGAAGACTGTGCCAGTGCTGGCTCCCGCACCTAATCTCGAACCGTCTGACGTGTTACAGGAACCCAGTAAAACTTGCTTTTTCCAAGCGAACCATGACAACACAGTAGATATCAGCAGGTTCATCTGGGTCACATGCGGTAAAATAAACAAACAAAGAAAATGTGTGTGTGTGGAATACAGTGGAGAAATCAAGTGACAAGAAGATTGTGCGGTGGTCAGCGGAGGAGAGAGAATATTTGCTCTATCCATGTTCGCCTGTTAAGGTTAAATCTTTGGACTGGGCGTCGCTACCGCCTTCTCCACAGCAGATGTTGTAGCAGAGCTCAGCACAGAAAAACAATGAGTACAAATGCTCACTGATATCCATGATGTGATCTGTTTGTCCGTATGTTTGTTATTTTCCTTGCAGTGATATCCGCTTTCATATGGCCTTGTTTTTATTCGGTGGCAAATCAATGCTCTCTGTCCATGATGCATCATGGGTTCACTTAAATGGTTTGAACGTGGGTCATTCACCGGTGAGCACTTTAGTTCCCAGTGTAACTGGTGCGGGAATCTGCACGGTTCTGGCCAGCCTGAAAACAGTTCTTGTGATGTTATGTGGTAATATAGGAAGTGCTCCACTGTGTTTTTAAACTCCATACACCTTCACTAGAATAATTTGGATGATTTCAGACATGGAATTTCCAATCGCTGCTAAAAAGAAAAAAAAAAAGTAAAAAATGAAAATTACCACTACTCCTGTGACATCACAAGTTGGAACAGAGCATTTTGAGCTTTGGAGATAACTCAAGGTATGTTTAGTCAATTTTCAAAATCTGATCAATATGGTTTCTGCATAAACCATCCAATATCACCAATACCGTAAATGAAGACAATATATCACCTAACTCTTATGAAATCTGCTGTCTACTACATGTGGAGGTGATTTTGAGTTATGTAAGGAAATACAACTCTTAAAATGACAATGAAAATGATATTGTTGGTGAAAACAAAGGTGGTCGCAACTGTCTAATGCAGAGAACAAACCCATAAACTCATAAATCAAATCTAAACCTGCTAACTACATTGCAACTTTTGATTTGTCCCAAGTCCATAAAAATCCATAAAAATCAGGACCTGAGCTGTAAAAAAAAAAAAAAAAGAAAGAAAAAGTCTGATTTTGTTTCCCTTGACTGTTATGAAGGACTTTACTAATAGCTTCAGAAGTGGCAGTAGCATCTGTTCAGGACCCACTACAATTTGCAACGGGATGTGTAAGAGTGTGGGTGACGCGCCTCGCAATCTACCAATGCCTGAAGAAACAAAATTACATCATCCTAAAAGACAGAGCGGACGTACCACCTCTAAATTCAAGCTTGATGTGAACGAGCTGTGAGCGCTGTGAACTCTCATATTGCCAACGAGAACCACCCGAACGTACTAACATGCTCGTTCATTTAGATAGAACAAATGTCGCCCTCTTTTCCAGTACAATGCCGGGGCCTCTCTCGTGGTATGACAATGCACTTCATTAACACTTCATTAGAATGCCTTTGTTGTGCACGTGCTGTGGAGAGGCCGGGACAAGGAGCTGCTGTGCTTAAAATAAAACAAGTCTGAATATTACAACGTCCATGATGCGCTCTGATTGAAGAGGGCTCGTGTTTAGTTAAGAAAAGCGGACGACGAGACCAAGAGAAGGAACACACGCCATTTGAAGAAGCACAATTGTTGCTCATCGTTATTATATTACAATTTTTGACAGCAATAATTTTCATGTCAAAATAGGCCCCCTCCGTCAGAGTCCTGCATGGGGTCACGTATCTGCAGATAGTTGTTGAAATCGGTGGGTTTTAACATTTTTGGGCGGGTATGCGGGCGGGTAGTGATTAAACGGATGGGTCGAGTGGATCAAATGAACGACGAACGGGAGAAAAATACTTGACACCTGTCCAGGACGTTCATTACCCTGGAAACGAGGGACAATTCCTGGTCTTTTCCCGGAACGATGGATCAGGCTGAGAGAGAGTTTAGTGTATTTATTACATAAACCCATCAGCGGAGATGATTGGCTTGGCAGCTGCGATGGTTTAGTCCTGGTTAAGTCCTGGTTAAGTCCTGGTTTAGACTTGGTGTAGTCCTGGTGTAGTCCTGGTCTAGTCCTGGCGATTGGTTCGGTGTTTGTGGCATGTATATATTTCTAATCCGCTAATGACACTTGTTTAGTCCTGGTTTAGAACTGGTTAAATCCTGGATTAGACCTGGTTTGTTCCTGGTTTAGTCCTGGTTTAGACCTGGTTTAGTCCTGATTTAGACCTGGTCCAGTCCTGGTTTAGTCCTGGTTTAGTATTGGTCTAGTCCTGGTGTAGTCCTGGTTTAGTATTGGTCTAGTCCTGGTGTAGTCCTGGCGATTGGTTCGGTGGTTGCAGCGTGTATGTATTTCTAATCCGCTAATGGCATTTGTTTAGTCCTGGTTTAGACCTGGTTAAATCCTGG